TCCTGCGGCTCGTGCGGGGCTTCCGGCTCCTCGAGGACCGCGCGGCGGCGACCGCGGACATGTGCGCGTGGGTCGCGGATCGGCGCCTGGCCTGGGACGCGGCGCGCCTGCTGCCCGCGGCGGGCGACGACCTGCGGTTCCACGAGGCCGTGTGGCCCACGTGGGTCGCGGGCCGCGACGGCTTCGGGCACCTCGTCGTCCTCGAGCGGCTCGGGTGCATCGACTTCGACGCGCTGCTAAAGCTGCCCCTCGATTTGATTCTGAAGCGCCGCGTCCAGGCGCTCGACGGCCTCCAGCGGGAGCTCGCGCGCCCCCGGGAGGGCTACGGCCGCGTCTACAAGTGCGTCTTCCTCGTCGACGTCGCGGGCGCGTCGTTCGGCACGTTGATGCCTGTGTGGAAATCAACCAGTGAGCTGGGACGTCGGGGCCAAACTTTGAAATTCTCTAGCTCGGTCAAATCGACGTCGATTCGGCTGATTTTTGGACGAATCGATTGCTCTCATCGAGTTCTCGAAGCACGGCGGAAGTGCTTGTGTCAAAACATTCGAATACGCTCACATTGAAGTCGAGTTGAAGATTTGATTTCCACACAGGTTGATGCGGGGCGAGACGATGGCGCTGGCCAAGGCCTACGCGAAGCTCACGGAGCGCATGTACGCCGACGCGGTCTGGAAGAACGTCGTCGTCAACGCGCCGGCCGTCGCGCGCGGCGCGTGGCGCGTCGTCGAGAGGCTCCTCGACGACGAGACGAAGGACCTCATCTCGTTCGTCCACGCGCCGCCGGGCGCCGCGGACACGCCGGGCAAGCTGCGGGCCGCGGGCGTGCCGCGGGCGGCCTGCCCGGCCTACCTCGGCGGGGCCGCGAAACCCGTGCTCCTCGCGGACCTGCTCGCGCGAGAAGACGGCGGCGCGGACCTCCTGCCGCCGCCGGAGCCGCGGCCGGACGCCGCGCGGCTCCGGCGCTTCTCGTCGCACGACGACGATGAGCGGTCCCGGCCCCCGGGCTTCCGCGACGACGACGAGGCGTCGCCGCGGCGCGGCGACGGCGCGGCGGGCGGCCTGCTGAACATCAAGGTCGTCCTCGCGCTCTTCCTCGTCTTCGACGTGTTCGTCTTCTGGTACAAGTCGCGGAAGCGGTGGCAGGCCGACGAGCTTTAACGCGCGCGACACCTTCGGGGTGGGCGGGGGTCGGGCGTCGGGCGTCAGGCGAAGTCCGCTGAATCGAAATCGAAGTCCGCCGGGTCGGGGAGCCCGTGGCTGCGGAAGTCGAAGTTCTCCCAGTGGTCGATGATGTAGGATTGGATCGCGGCGAGCGTGTCGGCCGTCCACGTGAAGTTCGTCGCCGTGAAATTGAGGTTGAGCATGTTCGTGTACTGCCCCCAGTCGAAGGGCTCGTCCTCGGGCTGGTTCGGCGCGGGGTTCACGCGGTCCCAGAACCGCGCGGCCGACGTCTCCCAGGAGAGGTTGTAGGTGAGGAGGGACGAGATGGCGTAGCGCACGCCGAGGTGGCGGATGATGATGAGGATCATGCCGTCGACGACGAAGGCGAGGCCGCCCTTGGCGTAGGCGATCCAGCTCTTGCCGTCGTCGCGGTCGCTGCACGCGATGGACGCGGACATGTGGACGTCGACGAGCACGGTCCCCAGGAGCGCGTAGATGCACCAGTTGTACTGCTCCGTGAGGTGCTCGTGGGCCGCGCCGAGGTGGCTGTCGTCGTCGATGCCGACGAGCTCGCCCCGCTGCGTGTGCTTCTGCATGTGGCTCGCGATGGAGAAGATGGAGATGCACATGGCGAAGGGGACGGACCACCCGACGACGTGGTAGGCGCGCAGGACGTACTCCGGCGCGACCTTGACGGCCTCGACGACGTCGCGGAACAGGCCCCGCGCGTTGTGGAGCCGCCGCTTGTACCGCTTCAGCAGCTCCGGGTCGTCGATGCCGAAGAAGTTGTTCGACGGCATGTCGACGCTGAGCATGTCGTCGATGTCGAGGATGTAGACGAGGGCGACGGCGTTGAGCAGCATGTTGAAGGGGCCGTCGGCCGTGCCCAGCACCTGCGCCGACACGTCGACGAAGTACCAGAGGAGGGACCCGCGGACGTAGTACGTGCAGAGGCAGCAGAAGAGGCGCACCGACATGTCGAGGCGGCCGATGGGCATGGCCTCCTCGCCGTCCTTGGCCTCGCTCAGCACGCTGATGTGGCTCGCGCGGCGGTCGCGCGCGCCGAACGCCGCGGCGGCGCCGCCGCCCTCGCCGCCGCCGTCGTCGTCGTCGCCGTCGGTCGCGTCGACGACGGGCGGCGGCGAGAAGATGGAGGCCACGAGGTCCCGGCCGATGCGGCGGATCAGCACGTAGCCCGCCTTGAACTCGTCGAGCTCGCCCCGCAGGGAGACGGTCACGGAGATACAGCAGAAGACGAGGGGGAAGAAGTTGATGAGCAGCGTGCCGTCGCTCTTGACGCCGTCGTAGAACGAGAAGAGCCGGTCGTAGTCCGTCGGGTAGGGCACGCCGCTCGGGTAGAACTCGCCGATGAGGCGGTCGTCGTCGACGCCCCAGCGCACGAAGTCGCTCGCGAGCCAGATGCCCTGGCTCACGGTCTGCATGGCCATGACCTGGAGCCCGGCGATGGCCATGGAGAAGAAGAAGTGGACGCACGTCGTGGGGCTGAAGCCGTTGTACATGATCATGGTCTGCACGCGGAAGAAGTAGGACTCGTCCGCCTTCTCGTAGAGCCGGTCGACCTTCTTGCCGATGAAGCCCTCCTCGTCGCCGCCCATCTCGTCCATGGCCTCGGCCATCGCGTCCAGCGCGTTGACCCCCCCGTTCTCCTCCGCCTTGTGGAGCTCGTTCTCCTCGGCCTTGAGCTCATTCTCCGTATCGTGGAGCTCGTTGGTCGTCCGGCCGAGCTCGAGGCGGAGCCGCTTCACCTCGTCCTTGAGAAACGCGACGTCCTCGCGGAGGCCGGCGTCCGCGAGGCTCGGGCCGCCGTCGCCCGGCCCCCCGCCGAAGGAAGTCGCGACGAAGGAGGCCGCCGCCGCCCGCGTCTCGTCGCCCTTCGGCTCCACGTAGACGCAGCCGTCGTCGACCATGGTCGGCGGGTCGCACGCCACTGACGGCGCGGTACAGCACGAGAAAGGCTCAATCGTTCCCGGTCCGGGAGCCCCCGGCGGCGGCCAGACGGCGGGGCGCGGCCGGACGCGGCGGGGTGGGCTGCCCCGCGCGAATGGGCACCGACTACAGGTCGAAACAGGAGAGAGATCGCCCCGTTTAGTTTTTTGGGGGGTTGAAGAGCATCAAACTAGTACATCGGCATCATGCACCGGCAGCGCCGGCTGGCCGGACTCGGGCAGCCGAAGGGATCCACCCGGCGCCGATTGGCGGAGGTGCTCCAGCATGGGGTTGTCGCGGGCGGGCTACGTCGGCGTGGCGGCGGCGGGCGCCGCGGCGCTCCTCGCGCGCGCCCTGCTGCGGAAGCGGGCCCGGAAGGACAAACCGGCGAAGCCGGACCTCGCGGCCAAGTTCGCGCCGCGGTCGGGCCTCACGTTCTACTACTTCCCGCGGAGCCCCTGCGCGCGGCGCGTCTGGCTGACGCTCATCGAGAAGGCGCTGCCCTACCACGGCGTCATGGTCAACCTCATGGCCGGCGAGCAGCGCAGCGACGAGTACCTCGCGATCAACCCGCAGGGCAAGGTGCCCGTGCTCGTCGTCCGCGGCCACGCGACGCTCCCGGACTGCACGATCTACGAGTCCCAGGCCATCTGCACCTTCCTCGACGAGGCCTTCCCCGAGTCCAAGCCCCTCTACCCGAGCGACCTCGCCGCGCGCACGGACGTCGAGCAGTGGCAGCAGTGGGAGCTCGGCCTCGCGGAGGAGGTCTGGCCGCTGAGCCGCCAGCAGCTCGACGGCTGCCTCTGGCGCTTCGAGTGGTCGCGCACGTCCTTCTTCGCCGAGGGCCCGCCCGCGGAGGCCGCGGCCAAGGGCGACGCCTTCTACGCGGGCAAGTGCGCCGGCATCTGTGTGCAAATCAACCAGCGAGCTGGGACGTCGGGGCCAAACTTCAGAATTCTCTAGCTCGGTCAAATCGAAGTCGATTCGGCTGATTTTTGGACGAATCGATTGCTCTCGGCGAGTTCTCGAAGCACAGCGAAAGAGTCTGGTCCAAATCGTTCGATTACGCGCACATTGAAGTCGGGTTGAAGATTTGATTTGCACACAGGCCGGCATGTACGAGGGCACGTACCTCTCCGCGGCGTCGTGCCGGAGCCGCGTGCGGCGCATCCTCCAGGGCCTCAAGATGGTCGACGCGGCGACGGCGGGCCGCGACTTTCTTGTCGGGTCGGCCTTCACGGCCGCGGACTTCGCCGCGTACCCGCGGCTCGTCGAGGTCCGCGCCGAAATCGACCGCCGCGCCCGACCGCGCTTCGAAACGCTCGAGCTCGGTGGCGTCGACGTGGCCGATGGTTGGACGAGTCTCTCGTCCGGTGCTCCACCACGAACGGGCGTTCGAGGACGCGCGCGTCGACGTCGTATTCGCGTGCGGCCTAGGTCAAGATGCCGCAGAACGGCATCGCGGCGACGGCCGCGGACCGCGCGCCCTTCGGCAACGCCGTCGCCTTCTTCGAGAAGCTGCGGGCGCGGCCCTGCTTCGCCAAGTTCGTCGAGCGGGACCTGGCCATCTGGGGCAGCGGCTTCTCGCCGTCGTTCCTCCGCGCGAACGCGCCGCGGTACGGCCTCGTCTGGTTCGGCGCGTCGCTGCCCTGGGCCCTCTTCGTCCTCTTCGGCAAGCTGCGCGCCGGCGGAAAGGCCTGGGGCTTCACGCGCGTCACGCAGCGCAGCCTCGCGACGCAGAAGAGCGGCGCGTCGAGCGGCCTCGCGGCCGCGCTCCGCGAGGTCGACGCCGCGCCGCTCAAGGCCATGCCGGGCGCGTTCCCGGAGCTCGTGAGCGACGACTGCGGCCTCCTCGTCTACGACGCGAGCGACGCCCTGTCGGCGACGACCATCGCGGCGCTCGACTACCTCGGCTACGCCTTCGCGCCGAAGCGCGTCGACGCGAGCCTCTTGGAGCACGCGACGACGGAACACCGGAAGCTCACGCCCTTCGGGGAGCTGCCGGCGCTCGTCCTCAAGGGCAAGGACGGCGCGCGGTGCCTCTACGGGGCCCGCGTCATCGTCGAGCACGTCGACGCGCTCACGCGCGGCGACCACTGGTGCGCGACGTTCGACGCTTCGGGCCGCATGACGCCGGGCGACGCCGTCGCGCGCGCCGTCGCGCGCAAGTGGGCCGGCTGGGCGCGCACGGCCTGGTTCTACCAGCTCGCGCCGCTGCGCCTCCACCTGCTCTTCGCGCCGACGCTGCGCCACGTCTTCAAGGGCGACGGCGCGGCGCTCCTCGACGCGGTCGCCGCCAAGGATTGTTTGGACCCCGCGGGCGCGCGCGACGCGGCCGCGGAGCTCGCGGAGGCCTTCGCGCACCCCCACGCGCCGGGCGACATGGCGCCCTACGCGTCCGAGCTCTGGGGCCGCGTGGGCCTCGTGGAGGAGACCCTCGCGGAGGCGCCGTTCCTCGCGGGCGCGAGCCCGTCGCTCGCGGACGCGTTCGCGCTGCCCGTCGTCGTCCTCGCGGCGCTCTACCACCGCCGCTGCTGCGGGGCGTCGGACCCGGCCTTTTCGCCCCACGCCGTGCGGCCCCACGACGCGCGCTTCGTCGACGACGGCCGAGCCGCGCACGTCTGGGACGGGCCCGCGTGGGCCGAGGTCGTGACCGCGTTCCCGCGCGTCGCCGCGTGGGCGGCCAAGCTCCGGGGCGTGGCGGGCTTCGACCGCGCGGTCAGCGACCTCGGCGTCGCCCACGACGTCCCGACGCTCGACGCGCCCCTGTTCGACGGCAAGGGCATGGCCTACTCGCTGCTCCGGCTGCCGGACGGGCGAATGGTGCCGCACCCGCCGTGCGTGAAGCCGTCCGCGGTCGCGGAGCTGCGGCGGTCCTTCCTGTCGCGGGCCGGCGACGTCTTCGTCTGCACCTACCCCAAGTGCGGCACGACGTGGATGCAGCAGATCGTGCTCCTGCTGCTCCACGGCGGCGACGCGACCAAGGTGAAGCCGCACCCCGCGCTCCAGTCGCAGGCGCCCTGGCCCGAGGTCTGCTACCTGCGCACGAAGCGCTTCGGCGGGCCCTGCCCCTACCTCGACGCGCGCAGCCTGCGGCCGCCCCACGACGCGGCCTACGCGCACGGGCCGGACGCGCGGCGCGTCTTCAAGACGCACGCGCCGCGGGGCCTCTTCCCCGTCGCCGACGCGAACCTGGACCCCAAGGCCAAGATCGTCTACATCGCCCGCAACCCCAAGGACGTCTGCTGCTCGCTCTACGCGCACGCGTCGGCGCTGCCGCCCTTTGAGTACGCGGGCGACTTCGACCACTTCGTGGGCAACTTCGTCGAGGGCAAGGTCGAGCACGGGTCCTGGAAGGACCACCACGTCGACTGGTACGTCCACGCCCAGCGGGACGAGCGCGTCTACTACGTCCACTTCGAGGCCCTCAAGGCGGACCCGCGCGCGGAGATCGCGAAACTCGCGGCGTTCCTCCTCGACCTGCCGGGTCCGGGCGACGTGCCGCCGGCGCTCCTCGACGCCGTCGCCGCGGGCTCCGACTTCAAGGCCATGAAGGCCGCCGCCGCCAAGGCCGGCGACGGCTCCGCCGAGGCGACGTCCCGCTTCCGCTCCGGCGGCGCGGGCAAGTGGCACGTCTCCCGAGGCGGCAAGATGACGGACGCGCACTCCAAGGCCATCGACGACACGCTCCTCGCGGGCCTCCCGCCGGGCCTCGCCTTCCAGTGCTAGGCGCGCGCGACGCGCGGCCGCTCCCCCTTCCCCCCTAGCCGCCGGGCCGCCCGGGCCCGGCCCGGCCCGCCCCCCCGCCGCGCGCCCGCCGCTTACTTCTTCAACACGTCGTTCAAGGTTCACCACCAGCCCGCAAGATTGGCGGACGCGCAGTCTGGGCAGCCCCTGGGAGTCGTCATGCGCCGTCCCATGGCGCCGCTGGCGCTGGCGCTGTCGCTCGTCGTCGCCGCGTTCGTCGCCCTCCGGCTGCGCGCGACGCCCGCGGCCGTCGTCTCCTTCAGGAGCACGGGCCGCGCGAGCGACGACGACGCCGACGACGCGCCGGCCATCAACGACGGCGGCACGAAGCTGCCGCCGGACGCGCCGAGCCTCGCGGACGTCTCGGACGAGGAGGACGCGCGCTTCGCGGCGTTCCGCGCGAGCCGCGGCCGCGCCTACGGCGACGACGAGGCCGCCGCGCGCCGGCCGCTCTACGTCGAGCGGCTCCGCCGGTCGCGGCGGCTCAACGCGGCGGCGCGCGCCGCGGGCGACGCGGCGGTCCTCGGCGAGACGGAGATGATGGACTGGACCGCCGAGGAGGTGGCGGCGCGCAAGGGCTACCGGCCGGCGCTCGACAAGGCCACCGTCGAGCGGACGTCCGGCGGCGTGACGCGCGAGTGGACCGCCGCGGACGACGGCGACCGGCGCTACACCTTCGACGCGGACGAAAAGGTCGTCGACTGGCGCGCCGTCGGCATGACCGTGGGCTACATCCAGAACCAGGGGCAGTGCGGCTCGTAAAAATTCCCGCGTCCGACGCCGCCGCGCGCGTCGTTTTTGAAACGCCGCGCTTCGCAGGTGCTGGGCCTTCTCCGTGGCGCAGCAGGTGCAGAGCGAGTGGTACCTCGACGGCAACCCCGCGTCCGAGTTTTCGGCGCAGCAGATCATCTCCTGCGACGACGAGATGTTCGGCTGCGGCGGCGGCGGGCCCGTCTCCGCGTACGCGTACATCAAGGAGCGCGTCACGCCGGGCCTCTCGAATTTGTGGTATTACCCCTACGTCCAGGGTATGGGCAGCCAGCGGACGTGCCTCTCGCCCAAGTGCACGGAGACGTGCCGGGGCATCGGCACGGAGGTCGAGGAGACGCTGCTCACGGGCGTGTACGCGCAGGTCGCCAACTATTCCTGGGCGACGAAGGGCTGCTTCGACGACTGCGAGGACCAGGACCTTTACGGGCTCCGCAAGGCCGTCGCCGCGCACGGCCCGGCGAGCATCTGCGTCAACGCGGCGAACTGGGACGTCTACGCCGGCGGCGTCATGTCGACGGCGACGTGCGGGTCCTACAACTTCAACGACCTGGACCACTGCGTCGGGCTCGTGGGCTTCAACATGGACAGCGACCCGCCGTACTGGATCGTCAAGAACCAGTGGTCGACGACGTGGGGCGTCGACGGCTACATATTTCTCGACGCGCGGAACAACACGTGCGGCGTCGCGGACACGGCGACGTTCGCCAAGGTGTTCCCGCCGGACGGCGCGTACCGCCCCCACGACGGCGCGCGCGTGACGACGCCCGTGTAAAATCCGAGTCGAACGACGCCCCGGGGCAGACTAGGGTGCGTGTAAGGGGTGTCTCCCGGATGGTGAAGTGCAATGTTGAGGCTCTCGAGCGGACCGGTCTCGGGCGCGGATGGGTCCGCGCGCGTCGTGAACGACCGTGCGCGCAGCTAAGCGAAACATGGACGCGGCGTCGATCGACACCGACGCGATGCTCGTGATCCTCGCGCATTTCAACGCGGATGTAAATGCTGAAAGCCATGGACAGACGCTCCTACACACGTTCGCCCAACCTGGGAACACCTCCATGGTTGCGGCGCTACTCGCTGCGGGAAGCGTGGATCAAGCAGACAGAGACGGGGACTTCGCTCTCCACTACGCGGGGGCGAACGGGCACGTCGAGGTCGCGCGCTTATTGGTCAACGCGGGCGGAGATTTAAACGTTCGCGACGTGCGCGGCTCGTGCACGCCGCTCCACCTCGCGGCTTATGAAGGGCACGTGGAAGTGGCGCGTTTCCTCATATCGGCTGGCGCAAACATCGATTGCGTGGATGACTTTGGTGGTACGCCCCTCCATGATGCAGCTGGCATTGAGCACGCAGCTGGCAGTGAGCACGGGAAGCACAAGGCGGAAATTGTGCGTCTTTTACTCGATGCAGGCTGCAAGGTCGACGTGGAAAACGCAGACGGCAACGAGCCGCTGCATGTCGCGGCGGTGAGCGGAGCCGATGAAACGATCAAATGCCTCCTCACCTTTGGCGCCAACGTGAATAGCGTCAGTGGCTATCACGGTACGCCGCTCCGCGCGGCTTTGGAGTACCATGGCGAACGTCGCACCCTCGCGGTGCTGCTCAAAGCTGGCGCGACTATTGACATGGAAGAGCTCAACCTAATCCCACCCGCTAGGAAGCTGACTGACGGCTGGCGCTACCTCGAAAAAGTCAACGCCGCGGGCGGCTACGAGAACCTCGTGCGCACGTACCGCCGCGTGCTCACGGCGCCGCGCGGCTGCCTGACGCGGTACCTGCGGCAGCGCTTCGGCCGCGACGCGCCGCACGACGTCGCCCTGCGCGTCCTGGAGTACTGGGAGCCGCCGTGGACTTCGCCGGGGTACTCGATGCCGCGGCGGCCGTAACATGCGAACTCTGAACGGGGGCTTAAAGATTCCGGACGGAACCGTAGCCGAGTCGAACGGCGATTACGCCCGCGGTGCGACGCCGCGGGGGGCTGACGACAGCCCCCGGGCCTAGGACGACGCCGGCGGCGGCCGCGCGGGGCGCAGGGCCTCGTAGAGGAAGAATTGGGCGGCGCAGACCGTCGCGCACATGGCCGCGCGGCTTTGGAGGCCGACGAAGAGCTCCGTCGGGTGGGCGAGCGTCGCGAGGACGTCGCCCATGGACAGCGCGCACTGGCCCGAGAGCCGCGCCTTGGCCGACCCGCCGCAGATGCGCGTGAGGATGACGTCGCCCGGCTGGGACACGGCGGCGGCGCCCACGCCGGCGACGACGCCCGGCAGGACGCCGCCCGAACCGAGGCTCGCGCTCAGGGCCTCGTAGCCCGCGAGCTTGGCGACGGTGTAGGGCACCTGGCGGACCATGATCGGCGCGACGCCCTGCCACAGCGAGACCACGCCGTTCTCGCGGACGACGCGCCGCAGCGCGCCGAGTGTCGTCCGCGCGTAGCGCGGGTCCGTGACCATCCGAATCTTCGTCGCCTCCATGGGGCAGAGCGCGAGGCACGCGACGACCTCGGCGCACGCCGACGACGCGACCCAGATGCCGACGCGCGTCGCCGGGTCGTCCACGTCCACGTCGGGCCGCCGTTTCGCCAGCGTCTCCGTGAAAATGCGCTTGCCGCACTCGTACAACCCGAACTTGATGGCGCCCTGCATGAAGTAGCCCGCCGCGTTCGGCGTGAACCCCGCGAAGAGCGCGCGCGAGCCCTGCGACCGGACGACCGCGCGCACGGCGCCCACGGCGCCGAGCCGCGCGAGGTTAGCGTCGGACTGGATCTTCGTCTTCAGCACGTCCAGCGGCAGCGTCACCGTGTGCGACGCGCACGTCGAGATCTGCGAGGGGAAACGGCGCGTAAAAGCGGGCCGGGCTTTTTTCGGCGGGACGCGGGCGCGTCACCGCGCCGGCGACGGCGCAGCCCACGGCGTAGGGCGCCGCCTCGAGCGCGAGCCGCTTGCGCGGCTGCACGGGCTGCGGCGCGACGGACAGCGTCGACGACGCGGCGCAGCGGCCCAGCGCCAGCGCCGCGGCGACGAGGAAGCGACGCCTCCTCCGCACGTGCGGCTTCGGCATTGTGGCGCTGTCTTGTTGTGTGTGTGTGAGCGACGCGCTGGAGGGCTGTGTGGGTAGTTTTTGGCAGCGTCGGGGCGTAACGTCGGCACAGATCGCGGCGCGGCGGCCACCGTCAGCGTAGCCCTCAACCTGGCTCGGCTCGCAGCAAGGCCTGCAGATGAGCGACGGCAGCATCGACCCGAGCCAAGCAGCGTCCGGCATCTGCGTCCGGAAGTGCGTCCGGCACAGACGGGCAGGCCCGCCTTGTCGCCGCCGCCGCCGTCCGGCGACCGCCCGACCTGGCCCAGCTGCGCCGCGCCGAACGTTAATACGCGCCCGTCCTTCGTCAGCGCCACGGAATAGTACGCGCCCGCCACGACGGCGACCACGGGGCCCACGCCGTCGACGGCCGTCGGATGGATCGTTTCCGAGGACGTGTCCGGCCGCCCAAGGGCCGGGATGACGCCGTCGTTGCCGCCGTCGCAGAAGACGCCGCAGCCCCACGCGTACAGCGTTCCGGACGCGCCGACGGCGAGCGAGTAGTAGCCGCCGCAGGCCTTCGCGACGGGCCAGCCGAAGAGCGCCAGCTTGGACGCTGGCCGCGCGTCGGGCCACCGGGGTAGACGAAACTCCACCGCAAGCACCGAAGGACGCGACGCATTGGGCTCGGGCGGCGCTCGCCAATTTGCTTCGCGAACGCGTCCAAGTCGCTCTCGCTGAGAATTTTTCCATGGGCGTCGAAGATGGTGAGCCCCGTGGACCCCAGCCGGAAAGGCGATGGCCGTGATGACGAGTCGAGCACCGCCCACGGATCGCGCGCGCGGGTCCCCTCGACCTGGCAAGTCCGCGCGCGTCACGCAGTCGGGGCTGCCTGCGTCTGCCGGTGGAAGCGCGTCCTCGACGGCGTCGTGCGCCACCGAGATGACCCCCGGCCAAGGAGTTTTACGTTAACATTTGAACAAAATTCAGAAGGGCAGCTCGCGAGGCTACGCGAAGATGTCGGGGGGCGGCATCGGCACAACACTTGATTCATGGTTCCACACGAAAGCAGGCAAGGAGTGTAAGTCGAGCCTGTACGATGCCGTCAACAAGACGACAGCATCGTGGGCGCGAGGAGCATTGCAGCCGTGTAGTGCGCGAGGCGCCCGCGTCACTTACGCGGATGCCGTCGCCGCATTCGCGCTTGCGCTGGGCCGCGCGGCCGGCGTCCACCTCACGGCGCCGGAGCAAAAATTCCTGCGAAAGCCGATCGTCGCGAGCATCAGCGATTCCTCCGGCAGTCCCTGCAATAAAAAAGGTTTCAAGGGCTGGCACCTCGTCGCCGCCGACGTCGACGCCGACGACGCCCGCGTCATCGCGCGCCACGTCGCGCGCCTGCGCGAGAAGCTAGCCCACGACAAGAAGCAGCGCGAGAACGTCGCGCGCGCGCGCGAGCACTACGGCTACGCGTCCGACGGCGCGCGGCCGCCGCCCGACCTCTTCGGCGGCGGCCTCGGCGGCGGCCTCGGCGGCCTCGGCGGCCTCGGCGGCGGCGGCGCGCCGCGCGTGACCTACGCCCCCGGCGGCCCGCTGTCGACGGCCTACCGCGGCGCGCCGCCGGCCTACCGCGCGACGGCGTCGACGATTCCGCGCGCGCCGCCCGCGGGCGCGCGGGCCGCGGGGTCGCTGCTCGCCCTCGGCGACCGCGGCGGCGCCGTCCTCGACCTGCCGCCGCTGGACTACCGCGGCCCGCCGCCGCCGGCCTACCGCGCGACGGCGTCGACGATTCCGCGCGCGCCGCCCGCGGGCGCGCGGGCCGCGGGGTCGCTGCTCGCCCTCGGCGACCGCGGCGGCGCCGTCCTCGGCGGCGCGCCGTTCGCGCCCTGCGGCCCCGGCGGCCGGCCGCCGGACTACGGCGCGCCGGTGCTGGCCTACCGCGGCGCGCCGCCGTCGATTCCGGGCGCGCGGGCCGCGGGGTCGCTGCTCGCCCTCGGCGGCGGCCTCGGCGGCGGCCTCGGCGGCGGCGTCCTCGGCGGCGGCGCCGCGCTCTCCGGCCCCGGCGGCCGGCCGCCGCCGGCCTACCGCGGCGCGGCGTTCGAGCTCGACGTGCAGCCGCCGCCGCGCGCGCCGCCGCCGCGCGCGCCGCCGCCGTCGAAGCGGCCGAAGAACGCCGTCGCGGGCGGCGAGTTCGACCCTATGGCCTGCGTCGTCGCCATGCGGCCCGAGGCGTCGACCGCGTCCGCGCTCGCGATCGCGAAGCTTCCGCTGGAGGCTCGCCTCGAGCACTTCGAGCTCAACCAGCTGCGGCTCAACCGCGAGGAGCACGCTCGATACGAGCCGCGGCGCCAGGCGTTGCGCAAGGCGCGGAGCGGCCAGCTCCGCGCCTACGTCGACCTCCGCGACGAGCCAGCTCAGGCGGCGGCGGCCAAGCTCCTCGCCGAGGACTCCCTGGCGCCGATGCTCCAGAAGGCCGACGCGACGAGCGGCCGGCTCGGCGCCTCCATCGGCGTCGGGCTCCACCGGCGCTGCGAATTCACGGCCGCCGGCAAGCCCGGCACCGAGACCATCGCGTCTTTGCTCCGCAAATACCAGTTCCTCCGCTTCGCGGACGGCTCCTTGCTCAACACCCGCCACATCCACCGCGGCTTCGAACTCGGCCACATCATGGTCTACCCGTCGCGCCCGGACTTCAACCTGGAGCTGTGCGACCGCGTCGAGTCGGACTGCACGCTCGAGCTGCGGCGCTACATCGCCAAGTGCCAGAGCGAGGGCCGCGACGTGCTGCCCCTGATGAGCTCCGTGGTGGGCACGCCGGGCGGCATCTCGTGCCACGCGGAGAAGGGCGAGCCCGGCGCGGTCTTCGGCCTCCTCGTGATGGTCGACGCGCTCGAGGGCGACCTCCAGCGCGAGCTCGTCGTCGCCAAGCAGCCGTCGGTCGACGGCGGCCTCCTGGAGCGACTCGTCACGCAGCGGCGCGAGCGCGACACGCTCGACTTCGGCCGGTCGGGGACGCTCGTCGACCCGAGCCTGATGGCGGCGGCGGTCTCGGACCCCGCGTCCAACGGCTCGAGCGACTCCGTCGAGGGCCGGCTCGCGACGATCCTCCTGTGCTGCACCTCCTCCTCCGACGACGGCCTCCACTTCGTGCAGCGCCTGGTCCGCAAGTCGAAGGTCAAGGGCCGCGAGTGCCGCGAGTGCTTCTGGGTCGTCGCGGTCCTGGGGGGCACGTGCGCGCGTTTCTACGGGCGCATCGCCGTCGAGGGCCACCCCGGCTCGTTCCAGATGAAGGTCCTCGACTTCGGCGAGCGCGGCAGCGCGGTGGCGAAGGGCGTCGCCGCGACGTTCGCCGAGCTGAAGCTGCGCCCCACGTCGGAGCGGCTCGCGGCCGGCACGTGCTACGAGCGCGTCGCGTCCATCGCCATCCTCGGCGCCTTCTCGTCCGTGCGCGCCGCCGCCGACAGCGGCGACGTCTCCGACGACGACGACGACGACGACGACGACGAGATCATCCACGAGGGCGCCTTCCGCGCCGACCTCTGCAACGCGCTCCTCGACGACGGCGACTCCTGGTCCGATCTGGGAGACCTCGGCGACCGCGGCTGCTTCACCGACGAGCCGGACCCCGCGTGGGACACGGCGGCGGCGGCCCCCGTCGACCCCGGCGACTTCGAGTTCTTCGACGTCGCGACCCTCGAGCACGGCTCCCACTCCCTCCCCAAGTCCCCCGCCAAGCTGAGCGCCTGCGCCGACATCACGAACCGCGCGTAAGGGCCGCCGAGAGGGTTCAGCTCAGATTGTTGAATTCGATGCGCTCACATTGAAGTGCGGAGCCGCGGGCCAGGAGGTATGGCTCGGGCTCGGAACCGCCGAGGGCCTTCGCGGGCGCGCAAGGGCTCCGCCGAGGGTGCCGCATCCGGACAGAGGCTTTGGCCGTGACGCAATGCGGACGCGCGGCGCCCTCCTTCTCCTCGCCCTCTCCTTCGTCGGGGGCCTGCGCCCCCGCGAGCGGTCGCTCCCGTCCCTCGCGGCTCGGCTCCGCGGCGGCGAGAGCTTCTGGGGTCCCGGCGACGACGACGCCGACGCGGCCCACGAGGAGTCGCTGCCCGACCACGCGCCCGAGGACGACGACGACGACGACGACGACGAGGCGCGCGCGGCGAAGGCGGCCCAGCGCTGGACGCGGCGCGCCTTCGAGGCGGCCCACGAGGGCCGGTCCGGCGCGGCCGCGTCGGCCTTCAAGCGCGCGCTCCGCCTGACGCCGGGCGACGCTCCCTACCGCGCGGCGCTGCTCATCAACGCCGGGTCCTACCTGGCCTTCAGCGGGCGCAGCGACGACGCCCTGCCGCCGCTGCGCGAGGCGGCGTCCCTCGCCCCCGACGAGCCGCGCGCGCTCCACGCGTTGGGCAACGCGCTCCACCAGTGCGACGCGCCCGCCGACGCGCTCGAGGTCTACGCGCGCGCGCTCCACTGCGCGCCCTCGGAGGACTTCCCGCCGAACGCGCCCCTGCTCAACAACGTCGCGACGATCCTCCTCGCGACGGGGGAAAGGGATCTGGCGACGGCGTCGCTCGAGCGGAGTTTGGAGATCGAACCGCACGCGCCGGGCACGCTCTTCAACCTCGCCACGGCGAAATACGGCGCGGCGCTCGACGCCGCGGCGGTGTCGTCCCAGCGGCGCGTGGCGCTGGCGACGGGCGGGCGCGCGCGGGTCCGCGCGGCCTTCTCCTCGGGGCTCTACGGCGAGCCCTCGTCGGCGTTCCGCGACGTGCTCGACCTCCTCGACGCCGCGGAGCCCCACGCGCCGCCGGGGTCGCCGCTGCGGGAGCGGGTCCTGGCGCTCCGGGCCTGCGCGTCGAACCGCGTGCCCGGCCGCGCGGAGCACGCGGCCGCGGACTTCGAGGACGTGCTGCGCCACGGCGCGGAGCACGCGCGCGACCGCCGCCGCCGGGGCAACGCGCTCCTCGAGCTCGCGCGCGCCTACGGGGCCCTGGGCGAAACCCAGGCGCCGAAGCGCCTCGCGGCGCTCCGCGACGCCGCGGAGACGCTCGACGGCTGGGCGCGCGGGAGCGAGGCGGACGACGGGAGGGAGGAAAGCGCCGACGCGGACCCGTCGCCCCTCGACGCGCGCGGCGACGGGCCTCGGGCGCTGCGCTGCCGGGCCCACGTCGAGCTGGGGTTGGCGCTCGCGCGCGACGCGTCGGCGCTCGACGAGGCGCTCGACCACCTCTTCCTCGCCGCGGAGCTCGGCGCCGGCGCGCCGAAGATGGTCGAGGACGACGCCTCCGCGCCGCGGCTCGAAGCCCACGACGACGTCCGCTTCGCGCGCGTCGTCGCGTCGCTCACGCACAACGACGCGCGCGCGGCCGTCGACGCGCTCATCCGCCACGTCCGCGCCGCGGCGGACCGCGCGCCCGCCGCGCCGCCGCCGGAGCCCAGGCCCAGCGGCGACGACGACTTCTAGGCCGCCCGCCTTTTCTCCTAACCAGTCCCCCGCTCTCCCCCGTTGCAGGACGCGTAGGGGCTCGGTTGTCGCCCACGTGCACCGTCACCGAGTCTGCACCATCGCTGCAAGATCGGCTTACCAGCCGCTCCTATGGCGTCGTCCAAATGCGATCGCAGCCATACGGCAGCCCAACGCGAGGAAACTAAAATGGCGCCATCTACCGGCGGTCGCACCCCCTTCGCCCGCTTGCCGCCGGAGTGCGCCGTCGGCTGCCTGGCGATCCTAAAGTTCGCGGACCTCCACGCAGTTGCGAGTTGTTGCAAAGCGTGGCGCGCGCTGCGGGCGTCAGCGCCGTTCGTCGCGGCGCGCAAGGTCGTCGACGAGCGCGCGCTGGTTCTCGCAGGATGGGAGAACGAAGACACGAACTACGACACGCGGTGCTTTGTGCTGCAGCGATTCGGGCACTCTCGCAAATGGCGAGAAAACATGGCAAAGTTTCCCAGAGTTGGTGATGAATTTCATATTGATTACCTGAAGACCGTGATATTCCAGGGCAAGTTACTTGCTGTGTTCGATGCTTCTGATAGATCAAAGTCCATACAAAAATGGTACGAGTATGACCTCGCAATGAGACGGTGGGTTGAGGCGAAGTTTCCAAATACTGGTTATTGGGTAGATTCCATCTGTGCTTCGACCAACGTTGTGGTGACGCTCAAGCTTCCAGAGACCTTCAAGGTGACCCAAAGTATTTCGCTGACATGCTCTCGGCCTGGAGACGATGCATGGGTCTCTCTTCCAAATCCGCCGATCGACCTTTATCATGGAGAGGGAGATTTCGAGCCCCGTATTTTCTGTCTCGATGACGTGCTCTACCTTATCGGCGGCCAACAGAAACCAGAATTTGTATTGACGCGCGCAGTGCAGGCGCTCGACCTCTCAAACAATACGTGGAAGTTGTGTGCGCCGATGCCCGTCCCTCGCGCCAACGCCAGCATCGTGGAGGTTGGTGGGCGCATCTACGTAATGGGAGGGAGCGTCTACGCTGCCGCGTCGCTCGCCGCTCTCGAGGAGGGACGTCTCGAAGACGCCCCATATTACGAGACCAGCAACACGATGGTCTCGTACGACCCGCTGACCGATCGATGGGCCGCCGAGGCGCCGCTGCCTTTGCCTGGCACCAGAGAAAAATTGGTTTATATGTCCGCGGTCGCCCACGAGGGTAGCATCTACGTAGTCTCCCCTGGGGCAAACTTCAGGCTCGACGGGCTTTTTCTCCGCGAACAGGGAGGGATGGACTACGAATGGCTGCCCTGCGTGCCGCGTACGCTGTACGACTCGGATGACTCGGAGCACGAAGCCGGGAGAACATATAGCGCCTGGAATGCGAACCTCGCCTCCCTCCCCCTCTGGTAAAACGCGCGCGTGCTTAGTAGCAGTCTTTTATCACCCGGGTCCCCGCTTGCGCAGGACTGCAATGAGTCGGCACCATCCTTGCATCGTTGGATACGCCTGTTTTGTGGCAAGGAGAACGTCGCGTGGAGGCGCCCCGAGACGCGTCCGTCGTCCGTCGTCGACATCGCGTGGAGGCGCCCCGAGGCCGTCGTCCATCGAGCCATGTCCGACCCCGGCGCGGAGAAGGAGCTCGACACGCTCCGCAAGCTGCCCGAGAACAAGCAGTGCGCGAACTGCGGCGTCGTCGCCCAGCACGGCCACGGCGCCGTCGTCATGACCTACGCGACCTTCGTGTGCCACACGTGCAAGAGCAGCCACCAGAGTTTCAGCCACCTCTGCAAGTCCGTGTCCATGAGCTACTGGAGCGCCAAGGAGGTGAAGAAGCTGCGCGACGGCGGCAACGCGCGGTGCCGCGCGGTCTTCATGGGCAAGATGGACCCGAGCCGCGGCCTCAAGCCCGGCGCGAGCCTCCAGGCGACGAAGGGCTTCGTGGACCTCGTCTACAACAAGCGCGCCTTCTTCGAGTCGCGGCCCTCGGCGTCCTTCGCCATGTCGAACGCCGCGCCGGCCGCGGCGCCGCCGCCGGAGCCCAAGCCCAAGAAGAGGGCGCCGCAGGCCGGCGGGCTCAAGATCTCCCGCAAGGCCGCGGCGCCGCCGGTCGCGGCCGCGGCGCCGGCCCTCGACCTGCTCAGCTTCGACGACTTCGCCGCGGCGCCGCCGGCGGCGGCCGCGCCGGCGCCGCCGGGCCGGCCGGCCTTCGACCCCTTCGGGACCGCGGCGCCTCCGGCGCCTCCGGCGGCGGCGGCGGCGCCGGACCCCTTCGGCGCGCCCGTTTCGCCCGCCGCCGGGTTCGGCGCGTTCGCGGCCGCGCCGGCGCCGCCCGCCGCGCCGCCCGCCGCCGGGTTCGGCGCGTTCGCGGCCGCGCCGGCGCCGCCCGCCGCGCCGCCCGCCGCCGGGTTCGACGCCTTCGGCTCCTTCGCCGCGGCGCCGGCCGCGCCGGCCGCGCCCGCGTCGGGCCTCGGCGGCTTCGCCGCCTTCGGCGCGCCGCCGCCGGCGCCGCCGGCTCAAAAGCCCGCGTCGCCGGCCGCGGGCAACGGCCTCGGCAACGGCCTCGGCGGCGGCGGCGGCCTCGGCGGCAACAGGCTCGCCGTGTCGATGATGGGCCAGCCGTCGACGATGCCCTACGCGCAACCGCCGCCGCGCATGGGCATGGGCATGGGCATGCCGGCGATGGCGCGCGGCGGCTCGGCGCCCGGCGGCTTCGCCTCGTTCCCGCCGCAGCAGCCGGCGATGGCGCGCGCGCCGTCCGCGCCGGCCTACGGCGGCCAGGCCGGCTGGCCCCAGCAGCCGTGGCAGCAGCCGCCGCCGGCCTTCGCGCCGCCGAACGCGGGCACGTCGCCGGCCATGAAGCCCAACGCCATGAACGCGGGCGCGAGCAACATCTCCGGCATGTTCCCCTTTTAGGGATTCCGCCGGACGGTAACACGACGCCCCCTAGGCCCCCTTCTTCGCGGCGAAGGGGTTCGCGTCGACGTCCTCGTCGTCCTCGAACTCGTAGGCGTCGAGGCGGCCGTCGTCCGCGAGGAGCTCCTCGTGCGCGCCGTCGTCGGGCAGCGGCCGCCGCGCGGCCATCTCGAAGCTCAGCCCGTCGTCCTTGGGGAGCCGCATGGGCGCCATGGCGATGGGCGCCGGCGGGCGGCTCTCGGCGATGCCGTCGCCGAAGCTGAAGCAGAGGCCCGCGCCGAAGACGAGCGCCGCGCGGAGCGCGAGGAAGAGCATGAAAAAGGGCCAGCGCGCCGCGGCGAGCAGCGGGCTCGACGGCTCGGGGCAGACGGCGCTCGCCAGGGCCAGCGCGGCGACGACGAGCGCGTAGCGCGCGACGTCGAGCGCGCCGCCGGGCGCCGTCGGCTCGGGCGTCGGCGCGCGCGTCGGCACGGGGTTCCACCAGTAGAGCTGGGGCCGCGGCGTCGGCCGCGGCGCCCGGGCGCTCCGCGCCGCGGGCGCCGGCGTGGCGGCGCCGCCGGGCGCCGCCGCGGCCGCCGCGGCCGCGGCCGCGGGCCGCGGCGTCGGCCGCGGCGTCGGCGCGGCGTCGGGCGCGTCCGTGGGCACGTGCGCGCAGCAGCCGCAGGCCGCGCCGTCGTTGGCGCCGCAACCGTTGGGGTCGAAGACGCCGCCCATGGCGCCGCACTCGGCGCCGTTGGCGACGCAGTAGCCGTCGAGCCGGAGGCAGCTCCGGAGCGCGTTGCGCGGCACGGCGGCGAGGTCGCACGTCGCGGGCGCGAACGTCGCGACGATGGTCGGCGCGCGCGTCGACGGCGCCGGCGACGACGTCGGCGCGGCGCTCGGCGCGTCGCTCGGCGTGTCCGCGCAGCACGCGCAGGACGGCGCGGCGTCGAGGCGCCGCAGAAAGTGCGGGCCGTGATTCGCGGTGCCGCCGCAGCCCGCGGCGTCGTAGCGGCCGCCGATGTCCTCGCACTCGCTGCGCGACGCGACGCAGAAGCCGTTGGCGAGCACGCAGGCCGACATGGCCTTGTGCGGCACGCTCGACAGCGGGCAGCTCGCGCGGCTCGGCTCCGGGCTCGGCTCGGGGCTCGGCTTCGGCGTCGGCCGCCGCGTGGGCCGCAGGTGCGGCCGCGGGCTCGGCTTCGGCGTCGGCTTCGACGACGGCGGCGGCGCCGATGGCTGCGGGCGCGGCGCCGGCGTGGGCGCGGGCCGCGGCGCGCGCGCGGGCGCCGCCGTCGTCGGCCGCGCGCTCGGCGGCGGCGACGGCGCCGCGGCGGGCGCGGGCGACGGCGCGCCGGGCTCCGGCGCGGCGGCGGCGGCGAATGGCGCCGGCGACGGCGCCGCCGCGCCCGCCACGGCGCCGATGGCTACGGCCGCCGCGCCCGCGCCGTCGTCGCCATCCAAGAGCGCGTCGACGCGCGACACGGGACTCCGCGACGCCGGCAGCGACGTTGGTGCTTTTGCCGCGCTCTGGTTGTCGCACACGGCGAACGCGACCAGGAGGATTGCGGTCCGCCAGCCCATTGCTTTCAGGACTCGGTCATCCGTCACACCATCGGCATCGCTTTGCGCCGAGATTTTTATTTCCTTTCGCACTCGACGCGTCGGACGCGATGGACGCGTCGTCGCACTGCCGGCTAAGCTAAAGTTAACCAGCTCAAAGAGCAGCGAAGCCGTGAAGTTTTGACGTCACGGCTTTGCCTCGCTCCGGGCTCGGACGCGCGATGCAGCGGTTCCAAGACTTGGCGCGGCGCTCGGTCTGTGGACCATGTCGCGCCTTGGGCCCGGCTGCGAGTCGCTCGGGAAAGACCATCGGTCGAAGGCGAGCAACTTAGTTCGCGTCGGGGCAGCCCGTGGATGACGAGAACGGCCATTAACGGTGGGGGGCGACCGACGAGGGGCCCAACTTAGTTCCAGGGGGCGTTTGGGCTGTTAGACTTCGAAGAGACCCCCCCTGGAATGATGTTCCCGAGGGCACTGTCTCGGTTCTAACAGCCCAAACGCCTCATGCATTGCGCGGTGAGCACCGTGTCACCCGCGGCGCCGCACGCCTCCCGGAGGTGGTGAGGTGATCTCGATCAAACCCACTCGAGCCGAAGAGCTGCCGCGAGGGCATCTGGTCGCCCCCATGACGAACGATTCCCGACGCTCTGTGACTCGAAGGGGACCGAAAATCGGGTCGGGGGAAGCTGCCGCGCCTCATTCCACCCCCTGGGGCTGCCCGTTTGCGTCGCCTCGCAATCGTCCGGATGTCACGTCTTTTCATGTGCCTCACCCACATGTTTGCGGACCTCAAAGCCACTGGGATCGTTGCACGTCGCTGCATATTCGAGGAGCGCGGGGCCCTCTAAGGTGGAGATTCCATCGTCGGCCGCTGAAATGCTCGCACGAGAGACCGTCTCTTAGCTACGGATTACTGCAGCATTGCTTCATAGATGTGCTTGTTCAACGACGGCTCATTCGCAGCCGTAGCCGGTGGTGGCGGCGTCGCAAGTGGACGCGTCGATGGACGCGCCGACGGACACCTTGGTGAAGATTAGCGAAACCGTTCGAAGAAGCAAAAAAGCCGACAACCTCCGGTCGAGAAAATTAGGCGCGCGCGCTATTGCCGCTGATAAGTCTGGACGAGGACGACGTCGTCCTTCGCGGGCAGAGCGAAGCGCACGGCGCTGGTCATCGTCAGCGTGTCCGCGTCGGTGAGCGCGCGGCGGACGTGGATCGCGTAGGTCCGGTCGACGCGCTGCTTCGTGAGGAGGAGGTCGGCGCCGTCCCGCTCGACGGAGTCGAGGAACGCGCTGCCCTTGACAAAAACCTCGATGGGCGGGCCGCCGACGACGTAGGTCGTGTCCATCTTGAGGATGCCCCTCGTGACGATGCGGACCCTGTCGCCGCGGAGCGAGATGACCTGGCTCGTCGGCGCGCGCGCGATGACGCCGCGCAGCAGCTTGCCGACCTTGATGGCCTCGAGGTACGCGGGGTAGTTCTCCGAGCGGACCAGCTTCCAGGTCCCCGCCAGCGTCGGCGCGCCGCCGTCCTCGTCCGAGCCGTCGTCCTCGTCCTCGTCGGCCAGAGCGTCGTCGTCGGCGTCGGCGGCGGCGACGACGCCAGCGTCGCCGTCGTCGTCTCTCGCCGCGGCCGCGAGGACGAAGCCGGCCAGAACATCGACAACGACAACAGCGTCGGCGAGAATGTCAGCGTCGCCATCTTTCACCGTGGCCGCCTTGACGAGGACGAAGCTGGCGAACGGCAACGCGACGAGGTCCGCGTACACGTTGAGCGCCGGCAGGTTCATCGCGCAGACCTCCAGGAAGAGGAGGCACGAGAAGCGCAGCCACGCGCCGTCGCCATGGACGCGGTAGACAACGCAGGTAACAATAAAGGTGTAAGCGGGGATCAACACGTCCACAAAGGCGTTCAGCATGGCTGCCAGCATGGCTGCTATCGTCGCTGCAGGAATCGCGCGACGCCGAGACCTCGACGGCTCCGGGGCCGGCGCGTGAAGTGAACCGGAGGATCCGACGGCCCTAATAGCTAGCGGAGGGCGTTCAGCATGGCTGCTATTGTGGTGGCCAAACTACTTAGCCTACGTCCGACCATGCTCTCGCACAGCACCTTGATCTCACCTTGAGCTTGTTGTGCCCGATTGCCTCATCGTATGCGCGCCCTCTTCGTTGGCGCAGCCCTGCTACCAACTGCCTACCCGTTCGCAGCACCGGGGTCGCGCACATCGCGCGCGCTCATGAGCTCCCTGAGTGCAAGCGCCGAGGCCGGCGCCAGCGCCGAGGCCGCTAATATCGGCAACACGACAACACCAAAAACATCGGCACCGAAACCAACCACCCCCAAAAAACTCCGCCTGCTGTGCCTGCACGGCTACGCGCAGAACGCCAACTTCTTCTCGTCGCGGACGGGCGCGGTGCGCAAGGGCATCAAGGCGCTCGCGGACGTGCACTACCTCGACGCGCCGCACGCGGCGACCGGCGCGTTCCTCGGCGACATCGACGCGGACGCGCGCGGCGCGCCCCTGGGCTGGTGGAACACGCGCGACGCCGAGCGGCCCGCGCTCTCGGGCGCGTACGTCGGCCTCGACGAGTCCGTCGCGCGCGTGAAGCGGTGCGTCGCCGACGACGGCCCCTTCGACGGCGTCCTCGGCTTCTCGCAGGGCGCGACGCTCGCGGCGCTGCTGTGCCTCTCGGAGCCCGGGCTCTTCGGATTCGCGCTCCTCTTCGCGGGCTTCGTGCCGCGCGACGCGATCGTCCGCGCGCCCTTCGACGCCGCCGCGGCCGCGCCGAACGCGACGCCGACGTTCCACTGCCTCGGCGCGTCCGACGCGTCCGTGCCGCCCGACGTCGCCCGGTCGCTCGCGTCGTGCTTCGCGAGCCCCGCGGTCTTCGAGCACGCCGGCGGCCACGTCGTCCCGGGCAACGCGCCGCTGCGCAACGCGGTCAAGGACTTCCTTAGGGCGCGGCAATGATTAGCACGCGACCTCGTCGAGGAACGGGTTCGTCGTCGCCGCGGGCTCGTTCCGCGGCTTCCGCCCGCGAAAGACGGCGGGCGGCGTCGGCGGCACGGCGAGCGGCGCGGCCGGCGGCGCCGGCGGCGCGTAGCCCGGGCGGAGGTCGAGCTCGTCGTCGTCCTCGGGCCGGAGCGCGGCGTGGACGCCGAGGCAGGGCGACTCCAGTTCCTCGTAGGCGGCGTCGTCCTTCTTCGGCGGGAAGAGCGCGTCCCGGACGGACCGGAGCATCGACTCGCGCCGCGACGCGGCCTCGCCGTCCGCGATGAGCCGCTTCGCCTGGTCGCGCGCGCGCGCGTGGCCGTCGTTCGCCGCGCGCGTATAGCACCAGAGCGCCGCGTGGTCGTCCGCCGCGACGCCGAAGCCGTTCCGGTGGCACTTGCCGAGCTGGTAGAGGGCCTCCGTGTCGCCCCGCCTGTGTGGAAATCAACCACTGGTTTGGGACGTCCCGACCAAACTTTGAAATTCTCTCGCTCGGTCAAATCGACGTCGATTCGGCTGATTTTTGGACGAATCGATTGCTCTCGTCAAGTTCTCGAAGCACAGCCGAAGAAGCTGGTCCGAACCGTTAGATTACGCGCACATTGAAGTCGGTTCGAAGATTTGATTTCCACACAGCGCCCCGCTGCGCGGCCTCGGAGAACCAGCGGAACGCCTCCTCGTCGTCGCGCGCGACGCCGCCGCGGCCCGTCAGGTACAGCGACGCCAGCGCGGTCTGCGCGCGCACGACGCCGAGGCCCGCCGCCTTGCGCAGCAGGAGGAGCGCCGCGGCCGTGTCCTTCTCGCCGTGGACGCCCTTGCCCTTGAGTAGCGCGGCGTTGTACGCCGCGCGGCCGTCCTCCTCCCGCTTCTCGTAGTGTTCCAGCGCGGCCTTCGACCGCGCGCGCTCGTGCCGCTTCGTCTGCGCGGCGAGCGCGCCCTCGCGGCCGGCGCCGCGGCGCAGCTTCAGCGTCAGCGGCCGCGGCCGCTTCGCGAGCTTCGTGATAAACGTGCTGAACGTCGCCGGCGTCGGGAGGAAGAAGCCCTCGCCGTCGATGGCGACGAGCTCGTCCCGCGGAAAGACGTCGTCGGGGCAGACGCCGCCGATGGTCTCATCGACGACCACCGCCGTGCGGCCGCCGTCGTCGCGCGCCAGGACGAGCTTGATGCCGAGCCGCCGCTCCTCGAAGACGGCCTCGAACATGGCCGCGTCGGCCGCGGCGCTCAGCGCGTCCTCCACCTCCAACGGGGCTGCCTCGACGTCCCTCGCGGCCACCCAACCATCCGCCTCCAACGTGTCAGCCATCGTGGCTTCTCGACAAAAAAAATCGAGTTCGCAACCGTTTTCAACTTGTCCACGTTGAAAACTTCAACGAGAGCGGTTACCCGCGCCGGTAGTACTTCCGCGACGAGCCGCGGCTCCTGGACCGGCGGCGCGAGGACGCGGAGGAGGACCGGGAGGACGAGCGCGACGAGGAGGGGCTCCGGCGGCGGCGGCGGCGCGAGTCCGAGCGGCGGCGGTCGCGGTCGCGGGGCCGGTCGCGCGAGTCCGAGCGGCGGCGGTCGTCGCGGCGCCGCCGGTCCGGGGACCGCGAGCGCGACCGGTCCCGGCCGCGGGCCTCGCGCTGCTCCGGCGGCGCCGGCGGTTGCGCCGGCGGCGCCGCCGCGGTCGCGGCCGGCGGCGGCGGCGCGGGCGCTTGGACGTCGTCGAGGAGGTCGTCGATGGCCTCGCCGTCGACGTCCTCGTCGTCGTCGTCGTCGGCGCCGACGCTGCCCCAGGTGCCGCGCGCGGGCCCGGGCGCGGGCGCGGCGGCGGCGGCCCGCGACGGCCGCGCGGCGGCCTTCGCCGGCGGCGCGGCGTCCTCGGCGGCCTGCTCCGCGTCGCTCGCCGCGAGGGCCGCCGCCGGGTGCGTGCCGAGCGTGCGGTGCTTGACGTACTTGCGGAGCCGCGCGAGGCGGAAGCCGAGCGCGCCCGCGGGCGCGTCGTCCCAGAGACCCGCGAAGCGCGCGTCGCGCCGGAGCGCCGCGGCCCGGTCCTCGCCGACGGCGTCGTCCTCGCGGCTCCGCGACGCGTCGAGACCGTGCTCGAAGAAGCAGGACTCCAGGCCGAAGACGAAGAGCGGCGGGAACGCCGCGGACCAGTTGAGCCAGACGTTCAACAACGTCGCGACTTTCTCCGCCAAGGCGCGGCGCCGCGCGGCCTCCATGACGCCGACCTCGCCCGGCGCGAAGAGCCGCGCGCCGAGACGATGGAGCGCGCCGGGCAGCGGCGGCCGCAGCAAACCCCGGAAGAGGCGCGCGCCGCGGCCCGGCGCCGCGGAGTTGTGGAGCACGTCGGACACGAGGTAGAGCCGCGCGACGAGCGCGTCCGGCGCCGTCGTCGGCGCGTCGTCGGCGAGGGCGTTGACCACGAGCGCGGCGATCTCGCGGCAGGCGTCGGCCCGCTGGAGCGCGAAGACCATGGCGTCGCGGATCTTCGCGCGCGACGGCGTGAGCCGCGACAGCTGGAGCTGGAACTCGATGGCGTCGGACACGTGGAGCGACGCGTCGCCCGTGCGCGCGCCGCGCCGCGCGTAGAGCGCGTTCTCGTCGGACTTGTCTAATAAATTCCGGTCCGCGCGCCGCGACGCCTCCGCGGCCGTGAGCGGCAGCTCGTGCTCCTCGGCGCCGAGCGCGGCGGTCGTCGCCGCGTCCGGCGCGACCCAGTAGGGCCCGCCGCGCTGGATGCGGCAGGCCCGCACGTCGCGGCCGTCGAGGTGGAAGATCCTGGCGAGGGGCGCGCCCTGGGCGGCCATGCACGCCTCGTAGACGCGCCACCGGTAGTAGCGGCCGTCGTCGGAATCCGCGAGCGACAGGAACGCGAACTCGGGGTTGGCGCCCTCCTGCACGCGCACGAACTCCTCGAAGGCGCGGCCGTCGGCGGCCGTGAAGAGCGCCGTCGCGTCGACGAGGCGCCGCGTCCGCTCGTCGGGCGGCGCCACTACTATAATCTTCGCGGACGCCTGGAACACCGCGGCGTCCGTCGCGTCGTCGCCCGTCGACTCGAGGGCCGCCTCGAGCGCCGAGTCCGGCGGCGCGTCCCAGCGCGTCCGCTTCGACGACGTCGGTGTGGTGGTGGGGAGCGCGACGCCGTGCGTCCGAGCGGCGAACTGCTCGAGCGGGTTCGGCCGCGCGCCCGTCGCCGCGGCCGTCGCGATGGCGCCGACGGCGGCGAGGCGGCCCGGCGCGGGCTTGGCCGGCGGCGCCGCGGGGGGGCCCTGGCCGCCGAAGGAGTACGCGTTGCGCTGCGCCGCGGTCATGCCGCCGCCCGCGCCGGGCTGGTCCTTGAGCGCCTTGCCCCAGCTCACGGCGATGCGCACGCCCTCGATGGACGTCTCGTCGAGGGCGTTGAGCGCCTCGTCGGCGTCCTCGCGCGTGCGGAAGGACACGAAGCCCCGGTTGCGGCCCCGGCGCCGCTCGTCCTCGGACCGCGGCCACATGACCTTGACGGAAAAAATGTCCCCGAACGCGCCGAAGACCTGCATGAGCTTCTCCTCCGTCACCGTCGCCGCGAGGTTGTTGACGCAGAGGTTCGTCGTGCCCTGGTAGCCCGTGCCCTCCGTGCGCCCCTCGTACGCCGGCGGCGCCGCGCGCGGCGGCGCGGGGCCGTCGACGTCCGCGCCGAAGCTCCGGAGCGTCTCGCGCTTCTTGAGCTCGTCGAGGAACTCGTCCATGGAGCTCTTGGCGCCCGCGCGCCGCGCGCGGTGCGGCATGGGCGCCTTCGGCGGCGCCGCGGACGGCGGGGGCGCGTACCTAATCGCTCGAAAGCCGCGGTCCGCGCTCGTTTTTCCCGGGAAAGACGCGGATCGAAGCACGTCGCGCCGCGGTCGCCCTCGCCGGGCCCCGCCGCGCGCACGAAGGCCTTCGTCGGCCCGGCGTCGAAGGACGCCTCGAAGGCCGCGAGGGCCTCGGCCGTGCGCTTGCGCTCCACATTTTGGCGCTGCTTTTGGGCCTTTTGCTGCGACAGGCGGAAGGCCATGGGGTCGGTGCTTTTAGTTCGTGCTGTGTGGCTGCGGGGCCGATCGGGCGGCGCGGGGCGCCGGGCCGTGCGGCGCCGCGATCGAGCGGCGGCCGCAGGAGAGGCAGCCAAAGCCAAAGATGCCGATGATGTTGACCCTGCCGGATCGAGTCGCCGGCGCCGGCTCCGCCTCCCGCCTGTCCCCTCTGACCGGCGTCGCGTCGAGTCCGCCAGCCTCGAACGCCTCTCCGGCACCTCCGGCACCCTCGCATAGCGCACGATCATGAACGACGCCTACGGAACAGCAGCGCTCACGGCGCTCGTCGAGGAGCTCAAGTTGACGAAACACACCGAGAAACTCGCAGCCGCGGGCGTGACGACGCTCCGGTCGCTCATGGCGCTCGACGACGGCGGCATCTCGGCGCTCGCGCTGCCCAAGGGCCCGACCGCGCGGCGCCCGCGCCCGCGCGCGCGGCCGCGCGCGCCGCGCGCGACCGACGCTTCCGCTCCTTAGGTCCGGCTCCGCGCGAAGCTCGCGGCCCTGCCGCCGCCCCCGGCCGCCGCCGCGGCGCCGCCGCCGCCGGAGCCGGAGCCCCGGCGGTCGTCGCTCGACGAGGGCGACATGTGCCCCATCTGCCTCGAGCGGCCGAACCGTCTCCGCGCGGACTGCGCGGGCTCGCACGAGTTCTGCTCCGAGTGCATGCAGCAGTGGCGGCGGCAGACCGTGCTCAAGGCCGACACGTCCACGAAGTGCCCCATGTGCCGCCAGCCCATCAACCGCGTCGTCGACCTCCGCGCCGGCGGCGCCGCCGCGCCCGCGTCTTCCTGGGGCGCGCCGCCCGGCGCGAGCCCCTGGGGCGCGCCCGCGGCCGCGCCGGCGCCGCCGGCGCCGCGCGCGGCGCCCCCGCCCATGGGCCGGCCGGCGCCGGCGCCCGCGCCGCCGCGGCCGGCCCCCGCGGCGCCGCCGGGCGTCGCCGCGGCCGCCGGCCCGACGACGATGGGCGCGCGCGTCCGCGCGCGCCAGGCCGCCGCCGCCGCCGCCGCCGCGCCGCCCCCGCCCGCCGCGGCGGCGCCGCCGCCCCCGGCCCGCGGCGCCGACGAGGACGAGCGCAAGGAGGAGCCCCCCGGCGACGCGCGGTGGCGGAGCCCGGCGCTCGAGAGCCGCCGCGCGGAGGCGCCGCTCCGCGAGGAGCTCGCGGCCGCGAAGCGCGAGCTGGAGCGGCTCCGCGCGTCCCTGGAAGCGTCCGCCGCGGACCTCGAGGCCGCCCGGGGCGACGCGAGCCACGCGGCGCGCCAGGCCTACGACGCGCGCCGCGAGGCGACGGCCGCGGCCGCGCGCGCCGAGGCGCTCGAGAGCGACCTCGGCGCGGCGTCCGCGGCCGTGGACCGCGAGCGGCGCGCCGCCGCCGCCGCCGAGGCCCGCGCGGCCCAGGACGCCGAGCGCATCCGGGGCCTCATCGGCGAGCAGACCGCGGCGACGCGCGCCGAGAACGACGCGCTCAAGCGCGACAACGCGCGCCTCATCGCCCAGGCCCGCGACCACAAGCAGCAGCTCGAGGCGTCGGCCGCCAACGAGCGCGACGCGCTGGCGCGCCTCGACCGCGCCACGCGCGAGCTCAAGAGCCTTCGGAGCCAGGCGAGCCAGCACCTCAACGCGCAGTGGAACGCGGGCCAGCAGCAGCAGCAGCGGCAGCAGCAGCAGCAGCAGGCCCTCAGCGCCCAGCGCGCCGCCCAGGCGCGGGCCGCGCCGCCGCCGCCCCAGCGCGCGCCGGCGCCGCCGCCGGCCGGCCGCGCGCCCGCGGCCCACGTGTCCCGCGGCTCGAACCCGCGGTCCTGGAACTGCCCGCACTGCACCTTCGCGAACCTGCTCCACCGCACGTCGCGCACGGCCGCGGGCCTCTGCATCTGCGAGCTCTGCAACATGACGAGCGAGCTCGTCGACGCCTAGGGGGGTCGCCCCCCTTACGAAGAGGCTAGTACGGCTTCGACAGGTCGAGCGCGGAGATCGCGGCCGCGACGAGCGAGAGGAGCTGGCCCGTGGGGACGGGGTTCGCGAGGGACGCGGAGTGGTACTGGCGGCCCTGCCAGTTCGCCAGGTTGTGGAAGTGGCGATTCGCGCTGGACCCGTCGATGAAGAGCTCCACGAGCGCGGCCCGGTCGGGCATGAAGATGTTGTGCATGAGCCCCGCGCCGTGCGGGCCGACCATGACGTCCGTGTCCAGGTTCGTCTTGATCTGGTCCTCGAAGCTCAGGGAGCTGTAGTCGACGTCGCGCACCGTGACCCGCGCGCCGTTGGGGAACGCGCGGCCCTCGAGCGACTTCAAAGCGCGGACGACCTCGCCGTCGTTGCGCACGGATCTTCCCAGCTTCCGGATGCCGAGGTGGCCGAGCTTCGCGCAGTCGAAGAAGGAGCGCGCCGAGTCGCAGAAGCGCTTCTCGGGCCACTCGCCGCTGGACCGCCGCGCCATGAACGTCACGACGACGCGCTTCGGGTCCCGGGTCGACGCGTAGCGCGACTCGGGCGCGAAGCCCAAACCCCGGACGACGTAGTCGCTGTACGCGCGGACGATGCTCGACGCCTTGCACTTCGTGTTGAACGACGCGACCGTGATGGGCGACGCGGCGCCTAAAATCGCGATGCCGACCTTCTTGAAGCAGACGCGCTTGTCGCCGTACTTTTGCGCGATGTCCCAGGCCGTGAGCGGCTCGCGCCGGCCCTTGAAGACCTGGGACCAGATGGGCCAGAAGGGGCCCTTGGGGTAGAGGTCCGTGAAGAGGAGCTGCAGGTCGTCCGTCGACCACTCCAAAATCGCCAACGCGATGAGCGTGTTCACGAAGTCCTCGCTGTTGTGGAAGAAGTTCGCGAACGTGTCGCGCTCGACGATGAGCGTCGGGTTCTCCTCCCAGACCTGTGTGAAAATCAAATCTTCAATCCGACTTCAATGTGCGTGAAATTGAACGGTTCGGACCAGACTTTTCGGATCTGCTTCGAGAGCTTGACGAGAGCAATCGATTCGTCCAAAGATCAGCCGAATCGACGTCGATTTGACCGAGCTAGAGAGTTCTGAAGTTTGGCCCCGACGTCCCAGCTCACTGGTTGATTTCCACACAGTCCCAGACGTCGCACTGGAGGTCGTCGGTCTGCTCGAAGGCGTTGAACCAGTTGACGTTCCAGCCGGGGAAGTGCTTCGACTGCCAGACCTCCTTGTCCGTCGTGCAGTCCGCGGCGAGCGTCCCTTTGCGGTACGCGATCTTCGAGTGCTGCTGCTGGTGCTTGCTGTCGACGTAGCGCTTGAAGTAGGCCTGGGGCGTCTTGCCGTCGGCGAGGTCCGCGAAGCTGACGCGCACGTTCTCCCCGACGCACAGGTTGTCGCCGCTGCCGTGGTGGCTCGTCTGCTTGACGAGGTAGCAGTCGATCTTCGACGGCGGCCGCGCGGGATTCGAGCCGTCGGACCGCGGCGCGCAGTACGTCCGCTTCTGCTTCCGCCAGTGGTCCACGAGGCCGTTGCCGAAGTCGCGCTCGCAGGTGCCCCCGCCGAGCGTCGGCTTGTAGCGCCGCAGCATCGCCGCCGCGCTCTCGGTGCGGAACGCGGCGTCGTCGTAGGCGAGGATGTCGTGGTCGACGACGCCGGCGAACGTCGCGCCGCCGCCGCCCGCCGCTCGCGGCGCCGCGGGCGGCGGCGCCACGGGCGGCGGCGGCGCCACGGGCGGCGGCGGCTTCGCGGGCTCCGGCTCCGCGGCGGCGAGCGGCCGCGTCACGCGCTCGGTCGCGCGCTCGACGGCCGCGGCGACGGCCGCGCGCTCCGCCGTCGCGCGCTCGAGCGCGCCGCGCAGCGCGAAGATCGTCCGGTTCTGCGCCTGCACGAGGCTCTGGACCTCCGCGGCGAAGCTCGCCGGGGCCGGCGCGCTGGCGCCGTAGTCGAAATATTCGCCCACGAGGAACAGCGCCAGGGCCCCTACCACGAGCAGGACGCCGGGCGACAGACCCGTCGACGACGAGGGATGCGCCTTCGCGCTCGACGCGCCGCCGGCCGACGACTCGTCGTCGTCCTTGACCTTGCGCGACCGCATGGCGGGCTGCGTGCCAACGACGGCGGCGGCGGCGCTTTGGGCTGCCCGCGTCGCGACGGCTCGCTGCGCCGAGGAGCACCGCCGCTGTCGCGGAGGTGTCACGCGCCGTCGCCGCGCCGCCCGCGCGCGCCGACGCAGCGTTCGAGATGTTCGCCGCGCGCCGAGCGGCCTGCGCGCTGCGTGCCGCCTCCGCGCCGCGCGCCGCGGCGCCGTGCGCCGTGCGCCTCACGCACTACGCCCCGAAGCCGCGCGACGCGCTCACGCACTACAAGCACGAGAACATCCGGACGTCGCCCTGGAAGCTGAACCTGCTCGCGAAGCTCGTGCGGAACCTGTGGGTGCCCGACGCCCTCGCGCAGCTGCAGTTCACGAAGAAGCGGTACGCGCCGACGGTCGCCGACGCGATCGAGCGCTGCGCGGCGCGCGCGGGCGCGGCGCACGAGCTCGTGCCCGAGGAGCTCGAGGTCGAGCGCGCCTTCGTGACGCCGGCGCCCTTCCTCAAGCGCATCAAATTCATGGGCCGCGGCCGCTCGGGAACGGTGCGCAAGCGCGCGGGCCACCTCAACGTGTCGCTCTGCAAGGTCGACTTCCCGGCGAAGATCGCCGAGGCGAAGAACCACCGCCAGAAGCGCAAGTGGATGCAGCGCGAGGCCGACGCGCGCGCCGCGCGCGAGCGCGTCCTCGGCGCCTTCGCGTTCCCGGACGAGGCGGCCGTCGACGCGGAGGTCGTTCCGCCGCCAGCGTCGGGGTAGTCGCGGCATCTTTAACTCGTCTCTCGAATGCCTTCTCGCCTGAAGAGCGCGGAGCGGCCCTCGGGTGCCGTCGTGTGCTGCACAGCAGATTACAAACGCCGTTTCGCGCGCGCGGTCGGCGCTACCCGGGATGGACGATGTAGACGTCGACGGCCTCGAGGAAGGTCCGCCGCTGCTGCTTGCGGAGGCGGCCCGTCACTCTCACGACGCTCGCCTCCGCGAGCATGTCGCTCGCGGCGGCCATCTCGTCGATGCGGCAGATGAGCTTCGCGCCGCCAGCGGAGATATCGATGCGCCCGAGCTCCCGGTCGAGCACGACGACGGTGCCCTCGACGGTCACGAGCGCCTGCCCGTAGGACGCGGGGTCGAAGATCGCCTCCTTCGGCGTGATGACGAGGGGCTCCGGCGCGCCTTCCATCGCGCGTTTGGTGGCGCGATGCGGGCACCGCTCGAGAGATCGCTGCGCAGCGTGCAAAGGCGTCGACGGCGCGTCGGTGTGCGCTGCTGCACCGTTTGGCAGCGCTGGGCGAGAGTCGCGCGCGCGCGGCAGCAGCTCGAGATGCGACTCCCGCAAAAGGTGAATGTTTCCCGGCATCGTGCATCTGGAATTTAATGGTGAAGCGAGCTCTCACAACTCGTCGGCGTGCGGCTCTGCGGGTCCGGTCGCGCCCATGGAGGACCGCGCGCTCGTGCGGAGCGGCATCGTGCGGCGCCTGCGGCCGCTCCCGTGCAAGAAGCTGCCCGCGCTCCAGCGGCTGCCGCCTCGACGGAAGCGGCAGACGCCGCGCGGCGTCGGCGAGCTGAGCAGCTTCCTCAAGGTCGAGCGGCAGCGGCGCGACGCGCGCGAGGTCGTCGCCTGCGCGCCGGAGGACGAGGCCGAGGAGCACCGCGCGGCGTCCCTGTTCTCCCGGCTCCTCGAGGGTTTGGACGTGTCGCGGCCCTTCGGCGACGGCAAGAGCCTCGGGCGCCTCGCGCTGGAGCGGGGCGCGCTCCACTTCCTCGCCGCGTGGCTGCGCGCGGGCGGCGAGTGGCGCAGGACCGACGGCGGCAACGCGGCGCCGGGCTGCGACCTGCAGCGGCTCGTCGCGTGCCGCGCGCTCATCCGCGGCTGGCCTCAGAACCGGGCCGGCGTCGCGCGCTACGCGCACCGGTCCTGCGACCCGGCGGAGCTCGGCATCTACCTGCGGGAGGGCGACGTCGGCGTGCGCCTGAGCCGCGGCGCGAAGCGGCGGACGCTCTGCGCCTACGTGGCCCTCGTGCGCCGCACGGCGGCCCGGGGCGCGCTGCGCGTCCGCGGCGACCGCGACGCGCCGTCGGCGACGAAGGCGCGCCAGCGCCAGCGGACGGCGCGGCTCGAGCGCTTCGGCGTCGTCGCCGCCCCCGCGCCGGCGCTGCCCGCGGCGCCCGCGTCGCCGCGGCCGCGGTCGCCGCGCGCGACGACGCCCCGGTCGCGGACGCGCCAGATCATGCGCCGCTGCGGCACGCCGCTCGCGAAGGCGCGGCCGAGGGCGTCGCCGCGGGGGCGGGACCTCGACGCGCGCAACGAGGACGACGATCTCGAGTGCTCCGTCTGCCTCGAGCTGCCGACGGATCCCGTGCTCACGGTCTGCGGCCATTTGTTCTGCCACCGCTGCCTGCGACGAGTGCTGCTGAAAGGGTTTCGGGCGTGCCCCATGTGCCGAGGGCCCCTGCCGATCGCGCACGGCTGGAAGCGCTGCGGGCGGCTTATTCTCGAGCGGCTTACGCGGCTGCGGGGCCTCGAGCACTTCGCGCTGCGGCCGCCGTTCCACCCGTGCCTCGCGGTCCACGCGCACGCGGCGCGGTGCAGCGAGCGCGTGCGCGCCGTCGGCAAGCTCGGCGACGACATGCGGCACCACGCGCCGCTGGCGGAGATCCGGGAGCGGAGCACGCAGGTCTTCGCGGAGTTGGAGGCCGCGCGGCTCGCGCTCGGCGTCGCGATCATGTGCCACCCCGACTTTGGCGGCGCGCTCTTCAGCCACGTCGCCGCCTTCGTCTAACGCACTTTACTCATGGCCTGGCGGAGGAGCATGTTCGGCACGACGTGCGCGGGCGACCGAGGCGCGGCGAGGGCACCGGCCGCGAGCACGGTCCGCACGTTCATGGCCGCGGCGACGACGCTCCGCCCGCCGAGCACGACGAGGCTTGCCATATACAGGTCCCGGAGGCTCGTCTCGTCGAGGTTCAGCGCGCCGCGCGCGCCGACCGTCGCGCCCGCGCTCGAGCCGACGGCGACGGCCGCGGCGAGCTTGTAGGGCACGTTGCCGGCGACGAGGTGCGCGGCGCCGGACGCGAGAATGCCCGGCACGACCGACGCCATGGCCGTGCCCTGGACGAGGTGGTGCGGCAGCGTCGGGCAGGCGAGCGTGAGGTAGCTCATGGCCATGGGCAGGCCGCCGACGCCCATGACGGCGCTCGAGACGCCCTGGAAGTAGCCGAAGACGACGTGGCCCGCGATCGCCGGGCCCGAGCGGCCGGAGCCGGCGTCCGCGTCCGCGACGGCGTGCGCGCGCCGGTAGTGCTGCACGGCGAAGTGCGTCGGGATCATGATCACCGAGAGGCCGTTGAAGATGGCGCCCGACGCCGCCGTCGACAGCTTCGACGCGATCCTGACGCCCTGGCGCGCGCCGAGCATGGCCGGCGCGCCGATCGCTCCCGCGACGACGAGGTCCGCCGAGTTGTCGAGGGCGTAGGCGACGCCGCCCGTGACGGCGGACATGGACAAAGCGCACAGGCTCACGGCCGCGGCCTGGGCGCCCGTGGCGCCGACGACGGGGTGGTGCAGCGACGGGATGACGACCTGGGCGCCGCCCCAGCCCACGAGGCCGATGAGCGCCCCGCCCACGAAGCCCGCGGCGCCGGACGCGACGAGCGGCTTCAGGCTCATGGTGCGTCGCAGCAGCGCGGTTGGCGGCCCAAGGATTGCCCGAACACGGCCCGCTTTTACCAGCGGCATCATGCACTGCTAACCCGCGGTCAACATGTTATAAAAAGCCTGCCCCAGCGCCCGTGTGCGTAACGATGGGAGGCGCCGCCTCGATGGGCGGCGGGTCGCTCGGCGAGCTGCGCCTCGCCGTCGCCCAGCTCGACGACGCCGCGAAGCCGCCCGCGCGGCGCCGCGCGGCCCTCGACGAGGCCGTCGCACTCCTGCGGCGCCGGCCCGAGCCGACGGCCGAGGTCCGCCGCCTGGCACTGCGCTGCGCCGAGGCGGCGCGGCGCTGGTCCGACGACGCCGGGGCCGCCGGCTGCGAGGCCTGGCGGCACTGGTACGCCTTCGCCGCCGCGGAGATCTACTGCGGCCTCGGCGAGGCCGAGGGCTCGGGACCGCTCGCGATCGCGCGCTTCGGCTCGTCCGCCGCGATGCGCGTCGGCGGCGACGTCGCCGTGCGCGCCCTCGACGGGCTGGCCAAGGCCTGGCGCGCCGCGGGCCAGGACCGGTCCGCGGCGCGCTTCGAGGAGGAGCGCGACGGCCTCGTCATGGATCTCGCGTGCGCCGAGGCGCCGCCGCGGCCGCCGGCGGCGGCGCCCGCGCGCAACGCGGACATCCTCGACGCCGCCGTCGCGAAGCGCGAGCGGCGCGCCGCCGCGACAGCGCCCGCGGCGACCTTCGCCGGCCCCCACGCCGACGCGACGACGCCGTCCGTCGCGCGCGCGGCGCTCGACGACGCGCGGCGCGGCGGCGGCGCGAGCGCCGAGGCGCGCGCGGCCTACGCGCGGTCCATGGCGTCCTTCTCCGCGTCCGTGCGCCTCCGGAACATGGTCGACCCCGACGCGGGCCCGCCGCCGGCGCCCGAGGCCTGGGGCGAGTTCTGCGCGCCCTGCGCGCCCGCGGCGGCGGCCGACGACGCCTGCGCCTGCTGCCCCGCCGCCCCGGCGGCGCGGCGCCGCGGCGGCGGCCCCGGCGGGAGCGTCGCGGCGCCGGCGAGCCGCGACGCCGCCGGCGCGGGCCTCACGCTCTTCGTGTCCATGCCCGACGGCCGGACGACGACGCTCCGGGACGTCGCGCCGGACTGCCAGGTCGACGAGCTCAAGGCCTGCCTCGCGACCATCGCCGATCGCGCCGGCGGCTACGACTCGACGAAGCCCTGCGCGGACGTGGAGCTCGTCTACGGCTCCAGGCACCTCGCGAGCGGCGCGAGCGTCGCCCAGTACCGCCTGCCGCAGAACGCGACGCTCTACGGCCTCGTGGGCCTCCTCGGCGGCAAGCGCGCGAGGAAAAAAAAGTCGAAGACGAAGGACCCCGTCCGGTGCACCCTGCGGCAGTGGGTCGACACGGGCTACCTCGACGGCCGCGCGTACGTGTGCTCGTGGCGGCACGCGGAGGGCTGCAAGGTCTGCCAGGACCGGCCCTTCGCGCCGGCGAACCGGCCGGCCGACGAGCGCAAGGCCGGCTGGCAGGGGCCGGGCTTCTTCACGAAGCGCTACCGCGAGCACTCCTACGTCGTCGCGCCGGGCCTGCCGCCGCCGCGGCCCGACGAGCCGGGCGTCCACCCGGCGCTCGCGGCCATCAAGAAGACGGAGTGCGACGCGGGCTACCAGTGGCTCCTGGAGAGCGACGTCGGCCACTTCCGCTGCGCGGGCGGCTCGCACACGGCGACGGCGGACGAGTTCCAGAAGCTCGTCGACGACTTCGGCTTCCCGGACCTCGCGCACTTTGTGACCTCAAAAAAGAAGCTCTGGCTCAAGTGGCACGGCAAGACCGTCGACGACTACCTCCGCGCCGCCTACTTCACGCGCGAGCGCCGCGACCGCGCCGCGGAGCTGTCGCCCGCGTCCGCGAACTGGGAGCTCGCGAAGCGGACCTTCAAGCAGCGCTACGCGCTCTGGAAGCGCAAGTCCGAGAACTACGCCGTCGACGCCAAGGTCTGCGCCGCCCACGACTTCCCCCTGAACTAAGCGCTCACGCGGCGTGCGTTTCTTATCGGGCGGAGGCGGCGCCCCCGTCCGGAGGCGCCGTGGGTTCACAAAAAGGCAGGTCCGCGGCGGCGCGCGGCGGAGGAGCTTCGCCCTCGTCCGGAGGCGCCGTGGGTTCACAAGAAGGCAGGTCCGCGACGTCGATTCACAGGGAGAGGGCGCGGTAGTTGCGCCGCGGCATGGGCTCCGCGGCCGCCGCGGGCACCGCGGGCGCCGCCGCCGCGACGCGAAAGTTGGCGCGCCGCGGGGGAGCCGCCGGCGCCTCGGCGGCGGCGACCCGCGGCGACGCGCGCGCCGCCGAGCGCGCCTCGGCGTCCTTGGCCGTCGCGTCCGTCGAGCCCTTGGACGCGCGGCGGCGCGGCGTGAGGAGCCGCGACCGCAGCCCCGAGCGATGGAGCTTGGAGGTCGTTTCCTCGACGACTCGGACGGCGTACTTGCTGGAGCTCGGCGACGACACGGTGCCGGGCTTCTCCGAGAGGCCAGCACGCAGCTGCTCATGGTTGGAGAAGGGAATGAGCCGCGCCATGGCGCGGCGAATGACAACAGGAAGATCTGCGCTTCTGAGATCAAAAGGTTCGGCAGCCCCTTCACTCCTTCAAAGTCAACACTCTTGCAGGCTGAGCCTTGCTTCACTCTAATGGTGAATCAACACGCTTGTTTGGCAGCTGGTCTGCTCGTTCTCTTCTCGATGCAGCAGCACGAGCTTTGACATCCCAGAATCTCGAGAAGGCTGCCCGCCGAACATGGACACTAGCTGCACGACGAGCGCGATCGCGACCGCGGGCGAGGACGAGGACCCGTGGACGATCCTCACGAGCTTCTCTCTGCGAAAGTACATCGTCTCCAGCGTCGAGTTCTACATGAACGACAAGGAGGCGTTCAAGAACGAGCTGCTCTCCGGCGTCACGGTCGCGGTGATGCAGGTGCCCGAGTCCGTGGCCTTCAGCTTCGTCGCCGGCGTGCCCCCGCTCGTGGGCCTGCGCGAGGCGGCGTCCGTCGAGGAAAAATGCTCGCGCGCTCCCGCGTCGGAGCCGCCCGGCCGCGGCCGCAGGTACTCGACGTTCTTCCTGGGCCTCATCACGGCGCTCATCGGCGGCAAGCCCGGCATGATCTCCGGCGCCGCGGGCGCCATGGCCGTCGTCATCAAGGACCTCATGGTGCGTCCGCCGCGCGCGGCGCGCGGCCGAGCGCGCGCGCCGCAGGCGGACTCGGGCCCGCTGTCGAGCTACTCGAACGGCGACCGGTTCCAGCACCTCCTCATGACCGTGGCGCTCTGCGGCGTGTTGCAGACGCTCTGCGGCGTGTTCCAGCTCGCGAAGCTCGTGAAGCTCATCTCGAAGCCCTGCATGATCGGCTTCATGAACGGCCTCGGCATCGTCATCTTCATGGCGCAGCGCGCGGCCCGCGCGCGCGTCGACGCCGCGCGCGCGCCGCGGCGCGCCGACGCGCGCGCGCAGGTTCGGCGCCTTCAAGACGTGCCCCTACGCGAAGGAGTCGACGTCGCCGCGCCACCCGGACTACTACTCGGACTGCAAGGAAAACGAGCGGCGCTGGATGGAGCTCGACGAGACGAAGACCTGGCTCACGCTGCTCCTCGTCGGCTTCACGATGATGATCATGCTCGCCTGGCCCCGGGTGATCCCGGCGCGCTGCGCGTCCGCCCGCGTCCGCGCGCCGCTCTTCCGGGATCACGCCGCGCGCGCCCGCAGACCAGCGCGCGCTCCCGTCGAGCCTCGTCGCCATCATCTTCGGCACGCTGTGGGAGCAGTTCATCAACCGGGGGCTCATTGGCGTGTCCACGCGCACGGTCGGCCAGACGGAGAAGCTCAGCGGCGCGCGCGCGTCCCGCGCCGTCCGCCCGTCGCGCGCGCGCGAGCCCGCGCCGCAGGCCGCCGTCCTGGCACGTGCCGCAAGTGCCCGCCGACGGCGAGTGGGGCGTCGTCTTCCAGTACGCGATCTCGCTCACGTTCGTCGGGCTCATCGAGTCCGTCATGACCTTACAAGCCGTCGACGAGATCACGGAGGACCTGCCGTCCGTCTTCCGCTCGAACCAGGAGTGCGTCGCCCAGGGCGTCGCGAACCTCGTGAGCGGCCTCTTCGGGGCCATGGGCGGCGACGCGATGATCGGCCAGTCGACGATCAACGTGAGCGTCAACGGCGCGCGCGGCCGCCTCAGCGGCGCCGCGGCGGGCGTCCTCATGCTCGTCTTCGTCGTCTTCCTCAGCCCCGTCATCTCCGTGATCCCCATCGGCACGCTCACGGGCGTGCTCTTCATGGTCGTGCTCTCGACGTTCTGCTTCGACACGTTCCGCCTCCTGCCGAGGATCCCGCGCGCGGACGCGTTCGTCATCGTCGAGACGACGGTGCTCGCCGTCGTCTTCAACCTGCGCGCCGCAGCGTCCCTTGTTGTTTCCTTCTAGACACTGTGTGTCGTAGGGCCATCGGCGTCGTCGTCGGCTCCGTGACGCTCGCGACCTTCGACGCGTGGAACCGCGGCGCGTCCTTCGCGGTCGCGAAGACGGACAAGAAGACGGACGGCGACGAGGTCACGTACTCGCCGCTCGCGCCCCTCTTCTTCGGCACGGTCAAGGACTTCTCCAAGGCCTTCGCCCCGGGCAGCGACCCGAAATCGTGCGTCGTGGACCTCGAGCGGTCGGCCATCGCCGACTACTCGGCGCTCGTCGCGCTCGCGGACGTCGCGCACCGCTACGCGCTCGTCGACAAGCGCGTCAAGATCAAGAACGCCTCCGAGGCCGACGCGAAGCTCGCGCGCGCGAGCGGGCCGGCCGTCGCCGCCGTCGCCGACGCCATCGACACGGGCGAGGCCGTCGGCGACCCGGACGCGGCGCCGCTCGTCGCCGACGGCGCGGGCGACGTCGAGGCCGGCGTCGAGCTCCGCGCCGACTAGCTCGCCGACGCCGCAGTCGCCCCGGAGCACCCTGTACTCCGCGGCGGACGACGCCTCTTCCGCAGTCGCCCCGGAGCACGTACTCCGCGGCCGACGCCTATCTATTCCGCGGTCGCCCCGGAGCACCGACTCGACGGCCGGCACCGCGACGAAAGTCTAGGATCCCCCTCCCCCCCCAGTTGTACAAGCTACTCTTTTGCACACGCGTCCGTCGGCCGCGGCGGCGGCTCGTTGTACCACATCGACAGGGCGAGGCGCTCCTCGAAGGCCGGGAGGACCTCGTGGCGCACGAGCGCGGACCAGAAGAGGACGAGGAGGCCGCGCCGCGGCGGGACGTCGAGGGTCGCCGGGTCCGCGCCCGCGGGGAGGAGCACGTCGAGGCCCGGCGACGGCGCGCCGAGGGGCCGCGTGACCCGGAGCACGCCGCCGTGGCCCGGCCGCCAGCCGCCGGCCGGCTCCGACGCGTAGACGACGGCCGTCAGCACGCGCGGGTCCGGCGGCGTCCCGAAGGGCAGCTCGCCGGCGTTCGCCGCGTCGACGTGCGCCGTGAACCGCGCGCCGTTGGCGTAGCGCGCGACCATCGCAGGAGGCGCGCCCGCGGCGCCGTCGCCGTCGTCGGCGAGGATCGTCGCGGGCCGCCGCTCCTGCCGCCGCACGCGCGCGCGCGCGACGGCCCGGTCCAGGGCCGCGGCGACGGCCGGCGGCGCGCCGCGGCGGCCGTCGAGCCGCGCGAGCGCGCGCCCCAAACCGCGGCCCAGAGCCCGGAGGCGCGCCGCGACGCCCGCGAGCGCCGGCGGGTGGCCGCTCGCGCCGCGGAGCCAGCAGATCTCGTCCGTGCGCTCCGCGTCGACGACCTTGCGGCCGCCGCTGATGACGCGCGACGGCTCGAAGGCCAGCGCGTTCGCTTCGAGCCGCACGTGCGCCGCGTCGTCGGCGCTCAGCCAGTCGGCGACGAGGGCGTAGCCGTCGGTCGCGAGCCGCTGCGCGAGGGCGTCGGCGTCGGTGTCGGCGCCGTAGGCCGCCATGGAATTAGGGCGCGAGAGCTGCGACGCAGGCAGAGGGCTCCATCGCGGGGCTGCTACTCTTCAAGAATCTCAAAGCACCTTTCTTGAACTTTTTTTGTGGCAAATGGCGCAAGCAAAGCTCACCCCTGCGCGATGGCACCAAGCAGTTGACGAAACCTCCAGCATAAGCAGTTGACAGCGGCACGAGTCGTCCCAGCGACCGCGATGGGCGGCAAGCCGAGCCAGCTCCTGGGCCCGCGCGCGCCGCTCTGGCAGGGCGGCAAGAAGCCGCTGGGCGAGGGCGACAGCTTCTTCGACGACGCCGAGATCGGCGCCGCCGTGAGCCTCGGCGTCACGGCCGTGGACCCCGCGCGGCACCCGAACGTCAGACGGCGCCTGCGCCTGCCCGTCGCGGACGAGCCCGCGGCGGCCGGCGCGCTCGCGGCCAAGTTCGAGGCCGCGGCGCTCTTCGTGCACGACGCGCGCCTCGCGGGCGACCCCGTCTACGTGCACTGCGCGCGCGGCGTGTCGCGGAGCTCCGCGGTGTCGCTCGCGTACGCCCTCGCGGCCCGCGGCGGCGCGTTCCCGACGGTCGCCGCCGCGCGCACCTGGCTCGAGGAGCGGCGGCCGGCGGCGCTGCCGAACGTCGGGTTCCTCGCGGCGCTCGAGGCCTGGGTCACCGACGGTGGTGGCCGCGACGCCTGCGCGGCGAAGCTGCGGGCGCTGGAACACGCGCGGCCCGCCGCGGCCGCGGCGCTCGCCGCGTCGGACGCCGCGTCCGTCGACGACGCGCTGCGCCGGGCCGAGCGGCGCGCGACGGAGCCGGTCGACGACGACGACGGCGGCGCGCGGCGGTGGATGAAGGTCGTCAAGGGCGCGCGCGGCGACCTGGGCGGGCGCGTCGAGGTCGTCGTCGACGCGCCGCGGGCCGCCTTGCAGGACGCGGCGCGCGCCGTCGCCGACGACGTCGGCGGGCTGTGGCTGCCGGCGTCGCGCCGCGTGGCGCGCGAGGCCGTCGGCGCGCTGTCGCCGCTGCGCTTCTCCCGCGACTTCGTCGGCGCGTCGCAGCCCCTGATCGTCCGCCTCGACGACGTCGGGCCGCTCGACGGCCTCGACGCGCTCCGGGCGCTGGAGCGCGACGACGCGACGCCGCTGACGGTCTCCGCGACGCCCGACGGTCGCGCCGACTCGATCCGTCGCGGCGGCGACCTGCCGGACGGCCGGCCGCGCCTCGCGATGCCCGAAGAGCGCAAGCTCACGCCGGCGGCGTTTTTGCGCGCGCTCCGGAGCAAGGGCGACGACGTCTTGTACTACAGCGCCCAGAACGGGAGCCTCGGCGAGTGCGCCGCGGCGCTCGGCGACGCCGTGCCCGCGAGCGCGCTCCCGGCGCCCTTCCTCGAGGCCCTCGCGGAGCGGGGCGCGCCCGCGGGCGCCGCGGCCGAGCCCGAGGCCGTCAACGTCTGGCTCGGCGACTCGCGGTCGACGACGGCCGCGCACCGCGACCGGGCCTTTGAAAATCTCTACCTCGTCCTCGCGGGCTGCAAGCGGTTCCTGCTCCTGCCGCCGTCCGCGGCGGCCTACCTCAAGTCCGCGAAGTGCGTCCCCGCGCGGTGGACGAAGCACGGCCACGGCTGGCACCTCAGGGACGAGCGCGGCGACGCCGTCGACTGGCTCGACGTCGACCTCGCCGCGGACCTCGTCGACGACGACGGGCACGCGCTCCCGCGGCCCGCGGAGGCCGTCGTGCGGCCGGGCGAGGTGCTCTACCTGCCCGCGGGCTGGATCCACCAGGTCGAGCAGCACGACGACACGCTCGCGGTGAACTGGTGGTTCCCCGCGCGCTTGGACGGCCCCGTCTGGGCCGTCGGCCGCCTCGCGGACCAGGTCGGCGAGCTCCGGAACCGTAATTTTAGCTAGCCGACGACGCGCGACGTCTCCTCCGGCATGGCCGCGGCCACCAGGGCGCCGACGGCGGCCGCGTACTCGCCGGGGAACGCGTCGAGGTGGCGCACGTGGCCGCTGCCGTCGAAGACCTTCCGCGTCAGCCGCGCGGCGCCGTCGTCGCGGCCCGCGGCGACGCGGTCCGCGAACTCCTCGACGCGCGCGGCGAGGATGAGCCTGTCCGTCGACGAGTAGAGGAAGAGCGCCGGCGCGGCCTTGGGGCACGTCGCGTCGACGAGCTCCGCGAGCGCCGCGTCCATGGGCGTCGGCCCGTCGGGCTTCGCGAAGACCGCGGCGACGTTGGCCGCGAGCCGCGCGTCCTTGACCTTGGCGACGGTCGCCCCGGGCGCCTCGAGGCGGCGCAGGTCGCCGAGGACGCTCCCGAGGACGACGTCCGCCATGTTGGGCCCGATGTCGAGCGTCGCCGCGCTGTCGAAGACCACCCCCCGGACCTTGGCCGCGAGCGCCGGGTCCCGCCGCAGCAGCTCCGCGAAGGCGCCCGCGCCGTTGTTCGAGAAGACGTGGACGAGGACGTCGCCCGCGGCGGCGCAGGCCTGCGCGACGACCTCGAACTGCGCCTCGCGCAGCGCCGCCGCGTGCGCCGAGAGCCGCGCGTCGTCCGGCGGCGCCGCGAGCGCGGACGTCGTCGTCGCGACGCGCTGCCAGGACGGGAGCGTCGCGTCGTAGAGCTTCCCGACGGCGTCGAGCTGGTCCAGGTGGGCGCCGCCGAAGCCGAAGACGACGACCGTGCCCCCGGGCGCGTCGACGCCGCGGCTCCTCACGGCGTAAATCGACGGCGACGACGCGAGGCCGAAGAGGCACGCCGTCGCCGCGCGGCCGACGTCGTCCCCGGGGCCCGCGGCGAGGTCGAGCAGCGCGTCGTAGAGCGCCGCGTGGTCCGCGGACTCGAGGCACGCCTGCGCGAGCTGCGCGGGCCGCACGGCCGCGCGGTCCGCATTGGCGGCGTCGCGGAGCTTACGCAGCGCGCGGCCGCTCTCGCGGGCGGGCTTGAGCAGCGCCGACGACGCCCAGCCCCGGTGCTCGCCCGAGAAGCTCACGACGAAGGACCGCTTGTCGCCGGCGCGCTCCGTGACGCGCACGACCACGGCGTCCGGGGGCAGCGTCGCCACGAGCTTCGACGACTTCTCGAAGGTCGCGCGCAGCGCGAGGCCCTTTTTCGACACGACGCGCAGGCGTTCCATTGTGCACGAGAGCTGCGGTGTGGCGCGCGACGGAGCACGAATGCGCTGGCCGATAGCTCGATCAGCGTTTTTGTTGCCCGTCAAGTGCTGCTCAAGCGACCGTCGGCAGTTTATGCGGGGCTGCCGAGCACGCAGGCTGCGCTGCTCAAGCAGGCTTGGTTGCAGAGGCTGCCCTTAACTGCCGGCATGGCTGCCCTCTGGTCGCCGCGCGTGGCCTGGCGCGAGACGATGCGCGGGCCCGGGTCGCCGACGCGGGTCGCCGAGGACGAGCTCGTGAAGCCGCAGCGCGTGCAGGTCGCCAGCTGGGCGAACTCCCTGCGTGGCGACGACGCGCCGCGCCGGGGCCGCGCCGCGGCGCGCGAGCCGCGCGAGTCCGGCACGTCGCTCCACCTCGTGGACACGGTCGCGAAGCAGTCGTGGACGCGCACGCTGCGGCGCGAGCAGGCGTCGAAGCGTCGGACGCCGAGCCGGCGGCGGCGGAAGCCGCCGCCGACGGCCGAGGACGTGCTCCGGCGGGCCTACGCGCGGCCCGATCGCGCGCCGCCCGCCGACCGCGCGCCGCGGCCGGAACCCGCCGAGTCGCCCGCGGCGTCGGCGCGGCCGTCGTCGCGGTCGTCGCGGCGGTCCGCCGACGGTCCGCTCCGGGCGTCGCCGCCGCCGCCCGCGGCGCCGCCCGCGGCGGACCGCTGGCGCGCGCCGGACGCCGAGGACGACGCGCGGCGCTACGGCGAGCACACCTTCGCCTCGGACTACTACGACGCGGCGTCGTCGCGCGCCTCGGCGAGCATCGCGAGCCTCGCGCGGCCCGCGCCGCGCGCCGAGCCGTCGAGCCGCCCCGCGAGCGCCCAGAGCAGTCGGTTCGCCCAGAGCTGCCCGAGCAGCGCCCAGAGCCGCGGGAGCGCGCGGTCCGGCGACGGGCGGCGGACGCGCGACGCGGCGACGGCGCCGGCGCCGACGGCGGACGCGGCGACGTCGACGGACCCGCCCGCGGCCCCGCCGCCCGCCCCGGAGCGCCGCGGCCTCTTCTTCAGCCACCCGGAAGACCTGCCGCCGGCGCCCGCGGCCCGGAATCCGCCGCCGGCCGCGGGCTACCGCGTCGACGGCGGCCGCTGGTACCGGGCCGACGACGCGCGCTACCGGCCGCTGGACGGCCGCGGCCGCGCGGCCGCCGCCTACGCCGGCGACGCCTACGCCGCGGCCTGCCGCGCGCGCGCCGCCTACTTCGAGATCGAGCAGTACGGCGCGTTCACGCGCGCGGTCGCGCGGCTGACGGACCGCGCGACGGAGACGCTCCAGCGCGACGCGCGCTGCGCCCAGTACCGCGACGCGACGCTGTACACGCACCGCACGCTCCTCTCGCGGCCGCGGCCCAGAGGGTAAAAGTCTTGCCGTTGTCGATACGTCGTGTGGCTGGCAGGCCTTGAAATCACACCGCCACTGACAAACCATCTGAAGACTGCGCGAGACGAAGTCTTGCCGCACGACCTATCAACGGCAAGGAGAGCTTGGGATGCATGGTGAAGGAACCATTGCCTGATTTACCGCTGCTGAGCACTGCTGAGCTGCGCAAGAGCTCGTGCGAGCATCGCGAGCCGGCAAGCCTTTCATGCTCTGCTACGCCGCCACCGTGCCAGCACTCGTCGTCCTCATGGCCGCGCAGGTGTCCGCCCTCGCGCTGCCGAGCCCGCAGGCAGCTCTGAAAGCGCGGCTCCGAGACGCGGAGGTGCTGAGCTTCGACGACGTGGCGCACCTGCCGAAGCCGGGCACGCTGGGCCTCGCGTCCGCCAAGTTCTCGCCCGACGGGTCGCACCTGACGTACCTCGCGTCGACGGACCAGGGCTCCATGGCCAAGGCGCTCTACGCCTACGACGTCGCGACGGGCGAGACGTCCGTCGCCTTCTCCGGCGGCGACGGCGCGACGTATTCGCTCGAGGAGCAGCTCCGCCGCGAGCGCGCGCGCGTCATGGCCACGGGCGTCACGAGCTACGCCTGGGCGAAGAAGGCGCCCAAGCTGCTCGTCCCCCTCGAGGGCGCGCTCTACGTCAAGGAAGGGGTTAATGGCGAAGCGACGCGCCTCTTCGACCCCGCGGACCACCCCGACGTCGGCTCGGGCGCGTGCCTCGACGCGAAGATCTCCGACGACGGGTCGACGGTGGCCTTCGTCTGGGACGACGAGGTCTGCGTCTGCGCGGCCGGCGGCGGCGCGCCCGCGCGCCTGAGCACCGGCGCGCGGGGCACGGCGGGGCTCACGCACGGCGTCGCGGACTACTGCGCCATGGAGGAGATGGACCGCTACGACGGCCTCTGGCTCTCGGCGGACGGCACCAAGGTCTGCTACGAGGCCTGCGACGAGTCCGCGGTCCAGGTCTTCGGCATCCCCCATGCGGGCGACGCGGACCCCATGTCGACGGAGAGCCACCGCTACCCCTTCGCGGGCGCCGTGAACCCGGCCGTGAAGCTCGGCGTCGTGGCCGTCGCGGGCGGCGCCACGGCCTGGCTCGACGTCGTCGGCGCCGCGGGGCTGGGGCACGACGTCTACCTCGCGCGCGTCGCCTGGGCCGACGAAGCGACGGTCCTCGCGCTCGTGCAGAACCGGGCCCAGACCGTCGCGCGCCTCGTCGCGCTGGACGCCGGCGGCGGCGACGCGCGCGTCGTGCTCGAGGAGACGAACGACGCCTGGATCAACCTCGACGACGCGCTGCGCTGGGGCGTCGCCGAGGGCGAGCTGCTCCTCGCGTCGGAGCGCGGCGACGGCGTCAAGCGCCTCTACGCGCACGACGCGGCGACGGGCGCGGAGCTCCGCTGCGTGACGCCGGGAAACATCATGGTCGAGGAGCTCGTGAAGGTGTCCGAGACCGAGGTGTATTTCCTCGGCAGCGACCTCTCCAAACCGCTCGAGCGGGGCCTCTTCGTCGCGCCCTACGGCGGCTCCGAGACGCCGGAGCGGCTGAGCGACGCGGGCGCCTACGTCGACGCCGCGGCCGTCGGCGACGGCGCTGTCTTCCTCCAGTCGAGCTCCGCGGCCGCGCCGACGAAGGCCGAAGTCCGAGCCGGCGGCGCGTCCGCGGTCCTCTACGACGCGTCCGAGGAGGACCCGCGCGTGGCGTCCCTCGCCGCCGGCCTGCGGCCGCCCGAGTTCGTGACCTTCCCGTCCGCCGACGGCGCGGTCGAGCTCCACGCGGCCATCTACGCGCCCGACGCGGCGGTCCACGGGCCCGGCCCCTACCCGACGGCCGTGAGCTGCTACGGCGGGCCCCACGTCCAGTTCGTCGCCGACAAGTGGTCGACGGTCTCCGCGGACCTCCGCGCGCAGAAGCTGCGGTCCGAGGGGTTCCTCGTCGTCAAGTGCGACAACCGGGGGTCCGCGCGGCGCGGCCAGCCCTTCGAGGCGGCGATCAGGGGCAACCTCGGCGACCTCGAGGTCGCGGACCAGGTCTCGGCCGTCGACTACGTCGTCGCGCGGGGCCTCGCGGACAAGGACCGCGTCGGCATCTACGGCTGGAGCTACGGCGGCTACCTGAGCGCCATGTGCTTGGCGCGCGCTCCGCGGACGTTCCGCTGCGCGGTCGCGGGCGCGCCCGTCACGTCCTGGGACGGCTACGACACGCACTACACGGAGCGCTACATGGCCGGCGGGCCCGCGGAGAACCCGGGAGGCTACGCGTCGTCGTCCGTGATGACGCACGCGGCCGACATCGAGGGCGCGCTCCTGCTCGTGCACGGCCTCATCGACGAGAACGTCCACTTCCGCCACACGGCGCGCCTCATCCAGGCGCTGGTCGACGAGGGCAAGGCCTACGACCTCCTCTGCTTCCCGAACGAGCGCCACTCGCCGCGGTCCGAGAAGGACCGCGCGTTCATGGAGGCGCGCGTCTTCGCGTTCCTCGACACGTGGCTCCGCCAATGAACGCGAACGACGGTCTTAAAATAGCCCTAGGAGCCCTTCGTCTTAACGCGAACGACGGTCTTAAAACAGCCCTAGGAGCCCTTCTTCTTCTTTTTGGATTTCTTCTCGGAGCCGTCGGACTCGCGCTTGCGCTTCTTGTCCTTCTTCGCCTCCTTCTTCGCGGCCTTCTTCGCCTTCTTCGCGGCCTTCTTGTCCTTCTTCTTGCTCTTCTTCTTGTCCTTGTCCTTCTTCTTCTTCTTCTTCTTCTTCGACGCGCCGCCGACGTCGGCCTGCAGCTGGGACATCCAGGCGGGCATCGTCGCGCCGCGGCCGCGGCCCATGGGCGGCAGCGGCGCGTCCGGCGGCGGCGGCGGCGGCGGCGCGCGGTCCTCCTCGACGAGCGCGTAGTCGCCGCCGGACGCGAAGCGCTGGGACTGGGGCGCGAGGCCCCGGCGCTGGGCCTCCATGGGGTCGAGCTCGTCGCCGGCGACGATCTTGTCGCGCCCCCGGCCGCCGGGGCCGCCCGACGGCTGGTAGCCCGCGTTCGTCGGGTCGAGGTCCTCGCCCGTCGCCTGGTCGACGGCCTTCATGGACAGCGAGTACTTGCCCGCGTCCTTGTGCTCGACGACCTTGACCCGGACCGCCTCGCCGACGTCGACGACGTCCTTCGGGTCCTCGACGCGGTAGGCGCACATCTGGGAGACGTGGCACAAACCGTCGCCAAACCCTTCGATGCGCACGAAGCACCCAAAGGGCTGGATGCGCGCGACGGTCCCCCGGTGCACGCTCCGCACGTCGGGCACGCGCGGCGGCGGCCGCCGGGGCGGCGGCGGCCGCCGGTCGTCGCGCGGCGGCCCGCGCGGCGACGGCGACCGCTCGTAGCGCCGGCCGTAGAGCGGCATGCCCGCGCCGCGGCCGTAGAGCGGCGGCGACCGGCTCAGCGACCGCGACCGCGGCCGGTAGCGGCCCGGCGGCGACCGGCCGCGGTCGCGGCCCGGCGACCGCCGCGGCGACCGCGACCGCGACCGCGACCTCGAGCGGCGCTTGCCGCGCGACCGCGACGAGGAGGAGGACGACGACAGCGACGACGACGACGACGACGACGCGGACGACGACGACGACGACGACGACGAGGAACGCGAGCGCTTGCGGCGGCGACCCATGTTGCGATGCGATGCAGGCAGTGGCTCTCACAGGCAGTATTGGGCTGTGGCAGTAGCGCTCAGGCGAGGCTCATACGCCGCGCCACCGCGAGCGGCAACTCGAAGGTGTTGCCCTTCAACATGCCGCAAAAATGGACGATTTACGCGGCCGCGTCGCGGACGCAGCGCATGCCGTTGTTGCTCGACGCCGAGTCGGGCGAGTTCTTGTGGCGCGCGGCGCTCCGGTAGCGGAAGCAGTAGGACTTGTGGCAGAGGAACGAGCCGCCCTTCTTGAGCTTCTCGCCGCCCGCGCTCGGCCCCGCCGGGTCCCGGAGCACGGCGTCGTGGGCCGACGCCTCCGGCTCGTACCACCAGTCGGACACCCACTCCCACACGTTGCCGATGAGGTCGTGGATGCCCGTCGCCGTCTGCGGCGCGTACGAGCCCACGGGCCCGGCGAAGGAGAAGCCGTCGTCGGCCGTGTTCGACCGCGGGAAGTCGCCCTGCCAGAGGTTCGCGCGGTAGCCCCCCCCCGGCGTGAGCTCGTTGCCCCAGGGGTACATGGTCTGGCTCCGGCCGTCCCTCGCCGCGTACTCCCACTCGGCCTCCGTGGGCAGCCGGCCGCCGCGCCAGGCGCAGTACGCCGCCGCGTCGTGCCAGGACACCTGCACGACGGGGTGCGCGCCGCGCTTCGCCGCGAAGACGTCGCTCCCGGGGCCCTGCGGCGACCGCCAGTCGCTGCCGTTCACGGGCAGCCACCACTCGACGCCGTCGACCGCTTTATCGATGGCCGCGCGCCGCGCCTCGCTCAGCTCCAGGTGGAACACGAAGGACCAGCCGAAGCGCTCGCTGTCCGTCACGTAGCCCGTCGCGTCCACGAACGCCGCGAAGTCGTCGTTCGTCGCCTCGTAGACGTCCATGAGGAACGCGCGCGAGAGCGCGACGCGGCGAGAGGGGGCCTCGCCGTCGACGAAGATGCGCGGCCGGTCCGTGCCCATGCGGAACTCGCCGGGTTGTATGAGGACGGACGGCGCGATATCCCAGGCGCCGGGCTGCGCCGCGGGTGTCGCTCGGGTGCTGGTGGTCGCCGCGGCACCGCGCGTGAGCTGGTCGGTGCCGCAGGACTCGACAGCGTCGCGCGTCAGGTCGCCGGCGCAGCAGCCCTCTTCATCGTCTTGCGCACGCGCGAGGCTCGCGAGGACGAGCCAGAGAGTACGCATCAGCGCGCGCGGCGGCGACGGCGCGGGTGGTGGCTCTGGTTGGAATGATGTCGAGGACGAGGGCGCTCGCATGCGCGCGAGCAAGAGGTTTTGCCACAAGGATTTTGTGGCATTTTTGAAGCTGAGCAAATTGATCAACGAGGAGATGGGCCGATCGATAGCGGTCCACACGCGCTGGGCGCTCGTGCTGCTCTGTGCGTCCCTTGCTTGCGGGCTGCACGGGTTGCGAGCCATGCGCCAATCGACGCTGCAAGGGACACATGCCAAAGCGCGCCGCTCGGTGCGCATGATGGCGACCTCCGGCTCGGATAAGCCGCGCGTCGCATTACCATCGATCAACCAGGCCCTGCTGACGACCTGCGTCGTCGGCGCGCTGACCAACCTGCGGGGCCCGGTCGCGGCCATGATCGATGGCGCGCCGCCGCCGCAATCCGTCTTCATCAACGGCTTGGTGCTCGCCTACGCGGCGGCGAACCTCTACAAGTCGCTGGCCAAGGTCGGCTACGCGACGCTCGACGGCCGCGAGCGCGACTCCTTCGCGCGCGAGGCCGGCGAACTCGCGCTCGCCGGCGAGGTCCCGCGGCGCGTCGGCGGCTACAAGGTCGCGACCTTCGCGGGCGGATGCTTCTGGGGCACGGAGCTGCACTTCCAGCGCATCCCCGGCGTCGCCGCGACGTGCGTCGGCTACACGCAGGGCTGGGCGGGCGAGCCGAACTACGACCAGGTCTGCGGCGGCCAGACGGGCCACACGGAGGCGCTCCAGCTCCTCTACGACCCGAACGTCGTGTCCTACGAGGCGCTGTGCTACAAGCTCCTCGACACCGTCGATCCCACGGTCCTCAACCGGGTCCGCGGCGACGCGGGCACGCAGTACCGCCACGGCATCTACCCCCACTCCAAGGAGCAGGCGGAGGCCGCCGCGGCCGTCGTCGAGGCCACGCAGGCCAAGTACGCCGAGCCCGTCGTCACGGAGGTCAAGGACGCGGCCGTCTTCTGGCCCGCGGAGAACTACCACCAGCAGTACCTCGAGAAGGGCGGCCAGGACGCGTCCAAGGACGCGACGGCGGAGGTCCGCTGCTACGGCTAAGCGTGCGTGTTACGGCGCGACGACCGCGAGGGCGAAGAGCGCGGCCGCCGCCGCGCCGAGCTTCAGGGTCAGCGCGGAGAGCCAGGCGAGCCTCGGCGCGACCTGGACGGCCCGCGCCGTCTGGTCCCGGTTGAAGACGTCCTCGGACTTCTTCGCCATGAAGCCGTCGGCCCAGCCCGTCTCCTCGAAGTAGAGCTTCTCCAGCGACAGGCGCTCGTCGACGTAGCGCCAGCGCGCGAGGCAGCGGCCCGCCGCGACGAAGCTCGCGAGCGCGCCGAAGGCGAGCGGCAGGAGCGCGCGGAACAGGAGCGGGAACGACACGAGCTCGTCCATGTCGTCGTAGTTCTGCGTGAGCAGCGCCGCCAGCGCGACGGCGCCCGCGGCGAGCGCGCCGAGCTTCGGCAGGAGCTCGGCCTCCTCGAGGGACGACCAGCCGCCCTCCTCGCGCGAGAGCAGCTCGTTGAGTTCGTTCATGGGCTCCTGGCTCGCGCGGACGCGCTTGTCGTTCATCGCGAGCCGCGGCTTCTTCGGCCTCTTCGCCTCGCGCGCGGCCTCCTTCGCCGCGCGGCGCTTCTGCTGCGCGAGTTCCGCGCGCGCGTCGGTCGTGCGCACCGCCGCCGAGCGGAAGGCCGCCGCCAGCTCGTCGTCGCGGAAGGCCAGCTCGTCGTCGCCGTCCGTGGCGCGGCGCGGCGTGAGTCGTCGCTGGCTCGGCGCGACGAACGCGCCGGCGCAGCGCAATGCGAGCACGGCGGCTACGGCGCGGCGCATGGCAGCGCTTCGGCACATCGCAACTCTTTCGACCACCATGTCTCAGAGCCACCTCGTCACGTGCTTCGGCCGATCTTCAACAAGTCAACGTGAAGTTAATAAAATTATAGCGCTGCGGCCAAAAGCGAAACGCCGCGGCCAAACAACACATCTGGCCGCAGCGCCTCGCGAGTTCTTTCGACGCCATGTCGAGCACGGTGACGGCGACGACGACGTCGGACGGCGACGTGAAGAAGCGGCGCAACGCGAACCGCATCGTCCACCCGACGAAGCTGTCGGCGGAGCTCATCCAGGACCGCATCCTCGAGATCTACGAGGAGCGAGGGCTCAACGTCGAGGAGGTGCCCATGCTCATGGAGAAGTACAAGGGCAACGAGGTGGACCTCTACCGCGCCGTGCGGACGAAGTACCCCATCCGAGCCCAGGCGCAGACGGGCGACATCCTGAAGATCGCCGTCGGATTCGCGACGGTCTTCGGCCTCGCGGGGCTCTACGCCTACATCTTCGGCGTCGAGGAGAACTTCTCCCTCCGCTCCCTCGCGCCCCCCATGCCCTTCGGCTAGGAGCGACGCGCGCCGGCGGCGGCCGCGGTCGCCGCTCTCGCGGTCCGTAAATGCCAGAAACAAAAAATTAGGACCCCAGCCGCAGCACGAGCTCCCGGGCCCACAGCGAGAAGCTCTCCGCGCCGCCGTCGCCGAGGAGCGCCGTCGCCGCCGCGCCCGCGAGGAGCACGCCCGCGGCGAGGGACCGCGCGCGCGCGCCGTTTCGCCGCGGCGACGGCCGCGCGACGACGGCGACGTCGCGGCCGCCGCCGCGGCGCCGCCGCCGGTGCCGCCGGTGGTGGTGCTGGGGGTGGTGGGGCGGCGGCGGCGGCGGCGGCAGGCGGCCGCCCGTCGTCCGGAGGAGCGCCGCGGCCGCGGCCGCCGGCCGCCGCCGGAAGGAGAAGAAGCGCGCGCGGTCGTCGCCCGCGCGGACGGCCACCTCCAGGGGCGCGAGCGCCGCGCGGAGCTCGCCGCGGGGCACGCGCTTGACGGCGTCCGGCGGCGGCGTCGCTTTCAGGAGCGCGGACGCGCGGCCCGCGACGGCGCGCCAGTCCGCGGGCGTCCGGCTCAGGCGCGCGAGCGCCGCGTGCAGCGGCGCGGCGTGGTCCGCGGCCGCCGCCGCGTCCAGCAGCTCGCCGCGCCGCTCGAGCACGAGCGCCGCGGCCACGTAGAGTGGGTAGCACGGCTCGAGCGCTGAGCCCGCGAGGAGCCGGTCCCAGAGGTCCAGGAGCGCGCCGCCGTCCTCGACGTCGTGCGCGAAC